CCAATGCAGCATGCTTTTAGCATTCCAATGTCATTATACAAATATATTATGTGCAGATAAATATTGATTAGTTAAAGGTATTGGAATAGCCAACTAGTTCTTAGTTGGTGTCGGTGATTTGTAAAAATCGAGTTACTGGAATTAAATATAGAACTATCACAGGTTTTTTAACTAATGCTTATGAACTGACTTTTTTGTCTCTTATTTACATTCTGACGTGGTTAAACATTTAACTGAACGATCAGTTGTTAAAATAACAATTCACTTTTAAACCTTTATAAAGAGAGTGGGTTAGCATCACCAAGTCTTTGTTGTATGCTTTGACACTATTCATGTATATAAAATGTATAAGGGGAATAAAGATAATTTGATTTGATTTGATTTTATTTGATCTTTGAAAGCGAAGTCTAGAATAAATCAAATGCAAGAGGGGCGAAGTCTTAAAGGAAATTGCATTTTTAGTGACCATTCTTCTCTCCACTAGGTCATTTTGGTTGACACCTTGATCGTAAGAATCGGAAGTAGGATGGTTGGAAATGGGATGTAACAGAGAAAACCCTTGTATTAAGTATTTAGATTATTGTGTGGCGATAGAGCCTTAACCGATAGACGTTAACATAAATTGATCCTACAATGACTTATTATAAAGCTGTTTTTAATAGTGGATATCTTTTCTGTATTTTACTGCAAGACTCCATTCTCTCTCCAAAGATAATTTTTGTCCAAGCTTATTTTACATAAAGTCTTGAAATTTTTAATAACTAAATCTGCAAGTTGCAAAACATTTCCTCTTGACTTGGCAGAACCCCTGATACAGTGATAGCAGCTAGGGGAGAGCTGCACCTGCAGGGTGAGTCATAGACACAGGTAGGGTGGTGGGACTACCTGGCGGAGGGTTTACAATAGCAGATTAGTCCCCTTCAAATCCCCTGGCCTTGAGTGACTCATCATCTGTCAATCAATATGTGGAGGTGGAAGAATTGCATACAGTATTGGCTTTGATTATAGATTTATGTAGCAAAATAAATGGGTGGGTTATAGCTCTCTACTAGCCGTCAGATGGTCGCTGGGTTATTCCTGAGAAAATTTGTTGGCTTTTTTAGTTCGTAAACGGATCAAGCTGTCCTTGATCATTGGTTTTCAATAAATGGTGCTGGATTTGAACTAAGTCTTGTCCAACTCATCTAAATTGCTGTAAAAGGAATCTCGATCTTCTACACTCATATTCATATTCTTAAAGGCTATTTTCCATAAACTGAATAATCTTTTGGGTTCCGGTTCCTATCAAATATCCGTAAAATAAAATCTAAAGAAATTCAAATCAAGTGTCATAAACTACAGGCTCACTCAACTTTGTTCTCCTTGACAAGTTATTAATAAAAAAATGGCTACAGGTAGTCGGTATATCTAAATCCAGAATGAAAAATCAATGCTACTAGTTAATAAAGTTTGACATTACCTATTAGCAATTGAATTCAGGTCTTAAGTAGGTTTTCAGAGTGAAATTATTTGAAGTTGAATTAATTTATTAATTAATAAACAATATTATAGTAGGTATAACAAATTCAAGTATAATTTTATCTCTGAGACATCCTTGCATTTATATTGGTAAATGAGTCATCCAAACACCCATCTTGTTTTCTAAATCAACCTGGTTTCAGAGAGTATCTTTAAAATTAACTTCATGTTTAATATCGATGTTTGAATTTAAAATCCTGAGAATTTGAGTTACCCAGATAGTCACTGATGCAGTTAGTGAATTTTAAAGAGTTGTATGCAGCAAGTTAATGAAATTTCACAGAAAATGCATGTTTGAAATGAACGTGTAGAACAATTTTAAATTTACCTAAACAAACTATTACAATGAAAATTGAAAAAGCTGGAAATTCATTTGAATAATTATGGCTGAGAGAAACCAACAGAAAGATTACGAGAAAATCATCGAGGGAAAACTAGGAAACATTTATTTTAAACCCAACGGTTTGATAGAAACTTGTGTTTGCTTGAGATAGTTGGAGATTGCTTGTTTGATTGGAAGGACATTTTGTTGACATCAACTTGTACAAAAGTATTCATATCACGACCACGACAGCAGGGGTAAGTTGGAAGGAAAGCTGTGGGAATCGTCAGGTGTCTTCCCTTTCGCTTGTCTCTTTGTCTCTCAGTCTCCATCGGCAATCTCTGTCTCTTTCACTTCCATCTCTGGCCTTCAGAAGCATTGAATTCTTTGCAGGGATTGTCTTTTGTTTGGTTCAAAATTCTATGACGCTTTGTGAAGAATGTGAAGCAATTTTTGTAAAAAATTTGTTTGATGGTTGTACAACTTGAATCATTTGAGATTTTTAGTTTGGTATTTAATTTATTCAAGTGTAATTAGGTGTCATATCATTGATGTAAGAACACATAATAAATTTAATATGGAATTAAGCGGTGAAGTGTATTACCAGTAGTTATCCTTCTAAATAGATTAAATATTTTTTTATGTGTAAAACGGCAACTTTTTCTGGAATTTTCTGCCAGAAGAAAATTATTTAATAATTATTTTTAATCATATTCGTTGTAAAAAGTAATCAAACCACAAATATTGAAAAATAATCATAGTTTTTGGGTACCACTTAATACAGTAGACTCCGTCTTATCCGGACTCCTCGGGACCGAGGCCAGTCTGGATAATGGTTTTTCCGGTTAAACCGACGTCACTAAAAACTCGTTAAAACGGACCGTTTGCTGTGATATTCGATTTAAATTTAGGAGAGCATTGTATTTAGACACGTGATCACTGGTCTCAAATCTTTCCCACGGGAACAGTCGTTTCAGTACCACCCACTTCCTGCCAATCTAGTCCGGTTAAACCAATGTGCTGATAAAAATTTTCCGGTTAAAGAGATGTCATTTCCGCCGAATGTAGTCCGGTTAAACCGATGTCCGGTTAAAAGGTGCCCGGGTAAGAGGGAGCCTACTGTAGCTTTAAAATGGTATTTTTCATTAAAAGATTCTTTGTGTGTTAACAATTTTTTTGGTGATATTCCCAACTATACAGTAACTAATTCATTCGTTTTTTAGCTAAATAATTCCCAAACCAAAATAGTATAGCTATCTACTACTATAAACAAGTGTAAATAGTAATAATGTTTGGGTTTTATGCAGAATGTACATGTTTGGATAATAATGGGAGTAATGGGTAAACTCATCGAAGGAATTTTGCAAGTTAGAATGAATGTATAGCTAAACTCTTTAACTCCAGCTGGCTGTTTTTTATCTCTGCGTGTATGGAAAACAGATTTTGCAGATAAATTTGTTTGCAAGTTCGTTCAGTCAATTTATACTAAACCATTGAACAACCACTAAACATGCTGTGAAAACTACCATTTTCACAAACTCTCCAAACTAATGCTATGTTTCATTTACAAACAGTTTGAAACACTAAGTTTCACTGGTGCAAGCGAACCTAATAGTGTGAGAATATTAATAACGTTTGATCCCGGCTCATACTTCAGATTCCGTGTGCTCATCAGTAACTTTGATATAATTATGAGAACCTGTGAAGCATACCCGACTCACACAATACCAGTACCGCAACTTGATCATCATATGTTGAATTTGTAACTTGTAACTATATCATATTGGACCAAATTCTTAGGCCTTTTGTTAGTGGTGTTGAAAAATTAATTATTAGATCACTGATTTCTTTTCATCTAGGGACATTTTATATTCTTCTCATCTTAGAGACTCATCTTATTAGCCTATATTTAATGCTAGATCTATAGATCAAAGGAGGTTTTGAACCACATGGTTCAGACATAAAAAATATATCAATGTCATTGATGCACATATTTTTGTCTGTATAATAAATTTAGATAGGTACTACAGTATATAGACCTTATGATTACGAGTTAACATTAGTATTGAGTCAATAGGTCAATAAAAAGAGTCAATGCAAGTCATTAAAGGCATTCTTTGTATTTAAGATAACGATAAGTCATAATAAAAACAAAATTAAATCAAATTTTCTTTACTGAAAAGATAGGTACAGTACAGTTTTTTTACACTGAATGGCAATACACAATTTTTCTACCCTAAAAGGATGTATATATACATATATTAGATTGATAACTGTCTACACTAGAATAGAAACTAAATGGTTACAGTACAAAAAATAATTGTCAGGGAGGTGGAAATTGTTTCTTCTAACATTTAAAACTGTCTGTACCAAACAGTTTTCTTATTAACTTGTTACTGTTTTCATTACTTCCATCGTTGGTGAAGAAAAGTAATCCCATGTAGAACAAATTTGTATGGTATTTTAGTTTGTGATGAGTTTAATAGACGGAAACTAAATGCCTGGTACTGTAAGTATGGTAGTTTGTCTCTGAAGTGATTATAAGATTTTTTCAAGAACAGTAGTTGTGTCAAAAATATACTGCCTATGCTTTAATAATGTTTTCTTTGAAATTTTCCTAAGTTTTTTCAATGCCCACCATTGGCTTTAAACCCCACTAGGCGTCTTCTCATCCTATAAAAAAATCTGATGCTTTTTTGATTCATGTTCTATGTTTGGTTACGTTTCAATGTACTACCTAACTTAATTTTTTTAAATTTATTTAGTTTTAATATAGCCTAGTTAAAGTTTTAAGAAACTTCTTGATTAGCAATAAACATGTTGGCGCTATCATACAACTATAATAAAATATGTCTTCCAACTCTTTTAAATATGTATATATATACACTCATCTGTGAACATTTACAAGATATATATATACATATAAATATTCCTATATCAATTGATTCAACTATTTGCAATAGTCTTGATCCAACTATTTTATTATTCATCTATAATATGTATACAAGGCGTGATAGCCGACTAGTTGAGTCCAGTTTTGCTAATTTGTATCAAAAGTTCACGAGGCTGCGACTAGTGCCACTTTGAAGTGCCCTCTCAATTTTGATCCCCCCACTTTTTCCCCTTGACCAGTTGCATTGAGTTGTTGTGATTGGTCCAGGAGGCGACGGGGGGCAAGCTGTAGCCATGGCGACGGCGTTGGGAGCCAACAACGGTGCTGCCACAGCGGCCAGTGGTGCCACCATCACAGTAGTCGCTACCAACCAGATTCTACAGGTGAATTGTGTTTGTGTTTATTGTTTAGTTGTATCTGTGGCGTCGTAGTTTGTTCCGTGAAAAATCTAGGTAAAATTATGTGGAAGTAGTTTTTGTTGTGAGTTGTTGCTGGTGTTGAATTGGGTTTGTTATGTGTATTTTAAAATATTTTATGAAAAAAACTAGGATAAAGTTTAAATGAGAGGAGTACAATATTTTTATACTTTATAAATATTTAATTAGGTTGTTTAAAAACATGGTTGTATATAGTCTAAAATTAAGTCTCATTTTTGTAGTTGTTTAAAAAGTGTTTAAATGTTTAATTTGCAGTTTATTTTAAAATATGCCAGTAAATAGTCTAAAACCAAGGTGTAGTTTTGTAATTAAATTTCATAAACAACATAATTTTGTAGTTATCATATAACAGTTTTTCTTACATCACATATTTAATTTGAAGTATATTTAAAACTTGTTAGTAAAGTGAAAACTTTTACAGTTAAATTTCATAAAACATCAACATTTTTTAATTGAAGAAGACAAATGTTTTATACCTGACTTATTGAATTTTGAGTTCATTAAAAAATGATAATACAAGTCTACACTAAGATCACGTTTTTGCTATTAAAACCTAACCAAATAATTTTGAATGAAAAATCTCATATTTTTATACTATACATTTTCAATAACTTACATATATGTTGTTTATTTAAAATAAGTTTTATTCGAGGAGATCAATTTTACTATATAGGAGGGAATTTTCTAATTCAGTATGAATTTCAACCCATAAAGGGCATTAAAGTGACAATAAGTAAAATAGGTAACCAATACTTTGCCAAAGTGTAAAAGCTTGTAAGTTTTTTTATTAATACATGGTTTTTACTAACATTTTAACTGTTTTGTAGTTTTTTAAGAAATTGATCATTTTTTTTAATTTGTGGAAAAGTTAGTATACATACTATGGTACCGGTACAGATTTTGCAATTCAATTTCTAAAAACAAAATATATTTGATTGAGGGACAATATTTTCATACCAGACATTTTTTAATCTACATGAATTTATGTGTAGTTCATTTATAAAACTTAAGTTGAGGAAATATGCCAAAACAAAAAGGAATCTCTAATTCAGTATTTATTTCAAGTTATAAAGGTTCATTCATTGTTGTCAGAACAAAGAAAATACATACGGTAACCAATACTTTTTCAAAACATACTGAAACTCTCTTGTTCATTAATCAATGTTATGTAGTATATGGGAATAACTGATAAATGATTTGCCACAGGAATAAATTAAACTATTTTTTTACAGAAAATAATTATTTTGTATTAAATTGAACAAATTTAATGAGTAAATATCATGGCAATTATGGTAATACCACAAATTGAGCATCAAAACTGCTACTAATTAAAACTGATTAGTTAAAATTTTCAAGCATTTTATAAACTAGTTACTGAACGCTTTAATAATTTAAACATAATCCTGTAGAGACCCACTCACCCACTGAACTATAGGTTAACTATAGATCTGATAAATATATTACAAAATTTAATCATAATAAATTCTTAAAATAATTATTCCTGCACAATATTCTATAGCTATGAAATTTAAAAAATGGCAGTAATGTTGGAGTATAAGTTTTTACTGTGTATTAAGCCGTTAAAGCACATTAAATATTTTAATGACATTTCTAGGTAATAATATTAGTATAAAATATATTCTTCTTAATCTACTTGGTAATTATTTCTGATTAAAAATTATTTTTTTATTTATTTTCACAATAGGTCAGTAGTTAAAATAACAACTATTATTCTGCTCATAAATAATTAAAATTGTAATTAATAATATTTTTAATAAATAAATATAACTTTAATTTAGAATTAAAAACATTTAAGATCACTTCAATTTTGTAGTTTAATCTTTTTTCATTCTTGCTAATTGACATTTTACTCATTACTACTCTAAAGAAATGTTATTGTACGCTTATAGGCCTAAAATCTTTTATTAGGAATGTTTAAAAAATCTGAGCAAGCCAAATACACATTGATATTGCTGCAGTTATAATGCTTGGTCTGATAATTATTCAAATGGTAATAACATTCTATCTTTTAAAATACACCAAGGTTTTTAGGTTCCATAGGCTTTCTATACTTTTTTAGAATTCTTAGTTCATGTATTATGTGTTATAATTTATTTTCTATTGAATGGATTGCAAACTATTTAAGTGAAAGAATATATTCAAGTATTGTGAAATTAAACACTCATACACATATCATAAGCATGAGAAGACATTTTCATCATAACACTTATAATGCACTCCAGTCACTTTATTCAAAATTACTCTTTGGAATTTTTCATTCAGGTTTTGTAATATGGCTTATGAAATAACACTCAACTTGTGAATTTACTAAGCCAAGCAGCTTCATGGTTAAAGTTCTCGCCTAATAATCAGAAGATTACCAAAACGATAAAAAAAAGTTATTAGTTTCTTTGACAATTCAAAACTGGACCCAGACATTCCTGATTGGGGCTTTTAATAAATGATCCTGGTATAATAAATCACTTGGTAGTTTGTTTAAATGTTACAAAAAGCATATCATGTAATTTTACACTCATATTTAGCACATATTCAGGATAAAATACAGCATTGTGTGCGTTATCATTTTTTATGTAATAATATCTATCATGATTTTGCAATAAATCACCTAATTGGTTAGTATTCATTTCAGTAGTCGATAACAAAGCTACAAAAGCCACTCATCCTTCACTTATATTAGGGTTAAAATACACAGCATTAGACCCTATCTATAATGGTACAATGGTATGATTTGGTAAAAATATCTATTAACTTGCCTGAGGTATTTTTTTTTTTAATAAAAGCTTTGACTTATGATGAAACTAGACATTCCATCCCCATGTTTAAATTTTCTCTGCTTTTAAAATCTAAATGGATATAGTTGACATGAGCCTCCAACAGATTGTACTGATGTAAATTACTGTATTCTGACGAATATGCAGGCTTTTCAACCAAGTCAAACTGATGGGTTGCCTTATTGTCAGCGCCTTATTGTCAGCCACATCAACTCTCTCGGTAACAAAGAATAAAGACAAGAATTGAATTTTTGACACCAGCACATTCTATGACTGGCTCACAGAACTTCATTCTTTTTTAATAAGATTGGCGACAGCTGGTCCATGTAGATGGGATGTCTAATTCACTATTCAAAAGTCAATGGTAGCAGTTAAGTTAAACATAACCATGGCCTGTAGGTTACTCCGACTGTGGTGACAGTGCAGACAAGAGAACACTCGCCAGATACCATATCTATAACAGCTGTGCCAACGTCACATCCGACTTTGTCTCAGGTAGCCAGCTGATCAGCTGATCTTAGCTTGCTAGCATGGTGTGCTGCAAAGTGACAACTACTCTCGCTTTGTCAACATTTTATTCAGCTTTGTAACAGTTTAGCATGGTGTGCTGCATCGCTACAGTCTTATTTAACACTACTGGAATTGATTTAGTATTGTGTGACGCTTAGTAAAAACCTAGATCACATAGATATTTATATCATACTGCACAGAAACTGGTACTTTTCCATACGTATTGATAGGCTGGAAAGTTGCCCATTGCCTTGCCTATACACGGAAAAGTAACGTAATGTACTTTTACTGTGCACTGCACGGTAAAAGCTTTTTACCGTACACTTAGTCAGCTGATGAAATTAACAGCTAATTGCAACGGCCTATTTTTATTTTCTGAAATATAATAATATTATAATTTATGTAATGTTGTAAATAAATTGTGTAATGACTTTCAAATATACTAATTTTTCTGTGTAGTATGATGTAAGTATTGTACGTTACTCGCCCGGTAAGGTTTACCGTAATCGCACAAAAATCCCGTGTGAGGCGTGTGCTCGCACTTACCGGGCTAGTAACGTAATATACTATTTTTATAAACATAATAACAATCCCACTCACAAGCACTCAGGATTGTGATTTGTAGAATGAAGGAATAGAAGCTAGCTTATGTTAGAAGAAGTACATGTAGGTAATATAACACACAAAAGACACATAAAACACACAACTCTTTGTCTCCTGAAGGACTTTTTCAAGTGCGGGACTTTTCATACTCGACAAACACACACATACACTTTAACTTTCAGATTCAGGGTAAAAAATATTTTTTTTTATCTGTCTTCTGCGTGGTTACCTGTACTTACTCATTGTTCTTAAATTATTGTGGACGGACTCATCAATTTTGATGTTTATTTGTTTTCACGTCCAGTGCCTTTGGATGACTGAAATCTGTCATCGCATGCTGATTGGTTCCTGGAATCTGGAAACCCAATTTCAGCTGTCTCTAGTAGACATTTCTGAATTTCGATATGACTAATCAAAGTCATTTTAAACTTAATTGAGGTATAATTAATAATATACATAGTCTCTGTGAAATCTTGAAAAGTAGGGCACTCTTGACATTGTGGATTGCTAAATTCTTCCACTGTCACACAGAGTTTGTAAAAGCGAGTCGAACGCTCGTACTGCCCAGTGAATGCTGGAATCTCGTAATGAACACGTTCCACGCAAATCACATTTACTGTTGTCTCATGGTGGTCTTCGGACCTATCCATGACTGAAGAGACTAAAATAAAGTCGAAACAACAGAGCACACTTCTAATCCTGAAAGATGGATTAGTCGTATTGGACATAGCGCAGGCTCAATCAAATTTCGAATCTACAAACCACACACGAACATGGATCGTACACACCCGAGACGGTACGTGTGACAATCTCAATGCTCGGAGAGGTTGAGATTTTGGTTTTTGTAATTTGAAAGAACATTCAAAAGAATGTAATTGAAAATTGGCAAGGGATTCGTCCCATTTACCTTCAAAAAGATTAACCTGTAATGAAGCGCTTGTCTTATCCCCTCACAATAACGCGTAACCGGGTTTTAGACGTAGGGCAGATGCTGATCTTAATTGCAGCTATCAACCACGAAAGCTATATGCTGTGGGAACCCTCACGATCGCCGGATAGGCAGATGCCGCCCACACGAATTGTGTAGAAGAGCCTAAACGTGCTACTGTTTGATGATATCAGTGATTCTAAATTGCAGTCTGATTGAGAAGACTGACCAGCTCCGCTGGATTTGCAACTACATCACCTGTCACAATCACTTTAACCAATTAATAATTTTGAGTGACTTGTAACATTAGGTGCAAGTGTTTGGCTTCGCAACCTTCTAAAATTCTAAATTAATTTTGCAGGTTAGATGTATTGGTCACGAAACTCGTTCTTGGGGTTATACGTGCGAAAAGACGCCCGATACCGATGCCGATGTTTGATATCATCAAACAGTAGCACGTTTAGGCTCTTCTACACAATTCGTGTGGGCGGCATCTGCCTATCCGGCGATCGTGAGGGTTCCCACAGCATATAGCTTTCGTGGTTGATAGCTGCAATTAAGATCAGCATCTGCCCTACGTCTAAAACCCGGTTACGCGTTATTGTGAGGGGATAAGACAAGCGCTTCATTACAGGTTAATCTTTTTGAAGGTAAATGGGACGAATCCCTTGCCAATTTTCAATTACATTCTTTTGAATGTTCTTTCAAATTACAAAAACCAAAATCTCAACCTCTCCGAGCATTGAGATTGTCACACGTACCGTCTCGGGTGTGTACGATCCATGTTCGTGTGTGGTTTGTAGATTCGAAATTTGATTGAGCCTGTGCTATGTCCAATACGACTAATCCATCTTTCAGGATTAGAAGTGTGCTCTGTTGTTTCGACTTTATTTTAGTCTCTTCAGTCATGGATAGGTCCGAAGACCACCATGAGACAACAGTAAATGTGATTTGCGTGGAACGTGTTCATTACGAGATTCCAGCATTCACTGGGCAGTACGAGCGTTCGACTCGCTTTTACAAACTCTGTGTGACAGTGGAAGAATTTAGCAATCCACAATGTCAAGAGTGCCCTACTTTTCAAGATTTCACAGAGACTATGTATATTATTAATTATACCTCAATTAAGTTTAAAATGACTTTGATTAGTCATATCGAAATTCAGAAATGTCTACTAGAGACAGCTGAAATTGGGTTTCCAGATTCCAGGAACCAATCAGCATGCGATGACAGATTTCAGTCATCCAAAGGCACTGGACGTGAAAACAAATAAACATCAAAATACCTGTACTTCTTCTAAGGTAATCTAGCTGATATCCCTTCATTTATCAAATCAAAATTCTTTCCCAGAGACTTTCCTTGAACAAAACTCAGTATAGTGCAATTCTCACTAGCATTGTACACGGTTCACTTACTAGCTTACCAACAGTTTTACTTGTAATCATAGTGATAGACTCAACCACTAGGTTTGCGACAGTCTCACTCACTAGCATTGTACCAGCTTCACTTAATAGCTTACCAACAGTTTTACTTGTAAGCATAGTGATAGACTCAATCACTAGGTTAGCGACAGTCTCACTCACTAGCATTGTACCAGCTTCACTTAATAGCTTACCAACAGTTTTACTTGTAAGCATAGTGATAGACTCAATCACTAGGTTAGCGACAGTCTCACTCACTAGCATTGTACCAGCTTCACTTAATAGCTTACCAACAGTTTTACTTGTAATCATAGTGATAGACTCAATCACTAGGTTAGCGACAGTCTCACTCACTAGCATTGTACCAGCTTCACTTACTAGCTTACCAACAGTTTTACTTGTAAGCATAGTGATAGACTCAATCACTAGGTTAGCGACAGTCTCACTCACTAGCATTGCTACAGCCCTCTCACAATTATTGCAACAATCTCACTCAGTATCATTAAGCAACTGTTTCACTCTCAAGTCAAACAATAACCTCAATAAGAAGCGACTTAACAGTACTACTCTAGCAAGTGCTGCTTTGTCAACATACTATATTTAGATTTTTAGAATGTTGTGAGATTTTAGAAATTCTTACTAGCATTGTCTGCAGCTTTGTGACAGTCTAGTTCACTAGAAGGTTGGTAGAAAATCTATATCACTAGCATTGTGACTAGATCACCTTTTTAGTACAATGTAAAACAGGCTTACTCACTAGTATTGAAACAACCTAACTTATTGCATGGTTTTCTGCTTTGTGACAGAATATATTAATAGTGTTGTGATATAAATTCTTGCTGTAGCTAACTCACTACAATTCTCACTCACTTGACTGCCTTGTAATGGAACGGATTTTCTAGATCACAGTGGGAAATTAAAGTCTCATCCCCAAGGATTGGGACAAAATAACATTCATAAGCATTGTGATCGCCTTGACATGGTGTGCAGTTTTTTGACATGATGGCTAGAATGTGATTATCCTAAAAAGTCTCGCTTACTAGTAATGTGTGCTTTTGTAAAACAGTCTCCCTTATCATATCTCAATCCTGTTATATTTTTAGTAGATAGTCTTGCTCTTTAGTATTGTTACTGTATCGCTAGCATAGATTACTACTTTGTGACTGTACTTGTCTTCCTAATGAGTGGCCAAAGAGATTTGGTTAAATTAGTTTGAAGGTAGTCCCCCCCAACTAACAACTACAATACTGAAAAAGCACCCATACACAACACAAGCAAGAATATCTTATCATTTTTCAAAAGCTGATCTTGTTCTTTAGTGCCCCTATAAAAAAGTAATTTCTGGCCATATATGGCCATATAAAAATTCCATATATGTTTTTATAAAGCCATATATGGTTTTTTATGGCCATATATGGAAGCAGATATGGCCAGATGTGGTTGTATCCATATATGGTGGTGTCCATATATGGTCATATATGTAGTCTATATATGGAATTATTGGTCATATATGGCCATACATGTTTTCTATATATGAAATGATTGTCCATATATGGCCATACATGTTTTCTATATATGAAATTATTGCCCATATATGGCCATAAATATCCTCCATATATGGAATCATGGTCTATATATGGTTATATATGACTCTCAGGTATGGAATTAAATTACTCATATACGGAATACTAATTTTCCATTTATGCTCATGTATAAATGAGTTTTTGGCAATAACTGGAATTATTATAAGGAATTGTTGCCACATCTGGATTTTGTAACTGGACTCCCAAACACTTCTTATAATATATATATAGCCTAATATTATAAATCTTAAAGTTTGTGAGTTTGTGTATTTTCTTGTTGCTCTCGCAAGCACAAACTACTGATTTGATTGAGTTGAAATGTGGTACAGTAGGGGGGCAGATAATATAGGCATTTCTCATTTAAAGTAATTAGTAGTAAAGCTATATATATTGCTTTACTACTTTTATAAGTACTTCATTAAGTATCCAGATTTGAACCCAGATGACAAAATCCTGTACATACATCTATTGTACAATTTTATTATAACGCAACAAAATGTTAAAACTGACGTATAATTTTAAAATTGTAAGTGTAGTAGGCCTAAATAAAGAGAATATTATATTAACAATTAATTAATTGTACCTTTGCTATCAAACAGCCGCAAATATCTATGTCACGTAGTTAGGCTATATTAATAATAACATTCTTCAAATGACAGTCTAAGAAAATCTTGTTTTACGAGACCAAATACAGCTTCTCTTATTCATGATGGGTTTTGTTAAGTTATCTGAAATGAAGCGGTTGTGGTGTAGTGGTTAAAGGGGCAAACTCCCACGCTGGAGTCCCGGGTTCGAATCCCAGCCAGGTAATTGAAAATTTTGTTTTGAAATTTTCGAATTAAAAATTTTTATTATGGTTTTAATGCATAGTTTATACCATTTAATGTGAAAATATGTTTAATTGTAATTTTTTTATTTATTTGTATATTTTTTATTTAAACATGTCCATATATGGGGGATTCCATATATGATCATATCTGGTTATATTTGGTCCAAAACCAAATATAAACAGATAAAAAAATTTTATATGGCCATATATAAACTTTTTCATAAGGGTGTTTTCTACAAACGTTTCCCGCTCATAGCTGCATTAGGTTGTCCATAAAAATGATTATAAATTATAAAATTTTTTTTTCTATTTCTTCTACTTGGTGGTGTTCTAGGACTTTCCTATGTTTCCACAGTTTGCAAATCGGCTTTTTCAATGATTGCTCAATAAATGCAGGACAGTGTTAATTTAGTTTTCTTTTTAGTAAATTGTCCAGGCTTTCTCACTTTTTTCCATTGTAATATTTACACCAACCCGAATTCAATTAGTAAATATTTATTTGAACCAAGTCAGTAAAGGTTTGTAGCACACATTTCCTTAAATTGCAACTAAAATATTAACAGCAATTAAATAATCCAACTGATCATAAGGTAAACAAATATGTTCTTCATAAGGATGTCATGGGGACTTTAAAAGCCACTGGGGCCAAGCCCAAGGAACTTTTTCAAAGATGTAAGGACAGTTTGCAAATCTACACACCTAGACGAACATTTTGGTATATAATATGTGGGGTAAATCTTAAAAAAAGCCTTATGGTTCACTAAGTTTCATGTAGCGTATTAATAATATAGGTAGATTGTCTGCTTTGTATATTGCCTAATTTAGTGTAGACCACGATACCCATAGTTTAAAATTAAATTATAACAAAATTTAAGCTGTGAAAAGTTAAATGATCATATAACCTCTGGATTTATGTTTTTATTATTAATTTGTAAACATTAATAGTTAGTTGGATAGGATATTTTTAGGTTTGTCACTAAATGATGGTTTTTGGTTGAAGACTCAATACTAAAATGTTAAATAATTTTTTTATCCTTTTTCATTTTATTCTATTGCAGGTATTTAACTAGCAAACCAATTGCAAACAAGGATCAGCAAATAATCCCCCATACATTTTCAGCCATTTTATCCAAAGTGCTATTGATTTTCTACATGTAACTAGCACGACTTAATGGCATGCAAGTCATTTAGGGATGAGACAGACATGCAATGCAATAATAAATTTCAGTCCATTGATCTGACATGATGCTTGGCTTATTTTGGTATTACTGTGTGAGTGCCGATTGAGCTTTTTAGGGCTTAATCTTTTTTTTTTTTTCAGAGGTTGGCGGCCTCTTTTAACCTTGCATTTGCCCGTCCACATAGACTAAGTGCCCGTGCGTGGATCGTTAACAGCAAAGCAAGGAGTGAGTCGGTACAGTACAAAGGTGAACTGTACTGATAAAATGTTATCGGTAGTGATCAGGATCCGAACCCACGACATCGCTGCCTTGGGCCCGAAGTCCGCGACGCTACCGAATGAGCCACCGACTCACTAAATCTAAATCTGTATTTACGTCTCTAAATATTTTGTTGGATTAGTCAAGATTGGGCTGCTATTGTATTTAAACAATTTAAAAATAATTTTAAAGACAGGAAGAGGCCTTGTTTTTTGGGATGATGAAGGGAAAGTAAAGCTTGGAATCAAAACACTTTAAATTACCTTACAGGGTAGAATGGTTACTAAGTTTGGCGTACAGTTAAATTGCTTAAAGATAATATAAAATATTTTTAGTTGTAAGGAAAAAAGTGTTTGTCTTTTTAGTTACCAACCTTTTGACTATAGTGAGCGTTGTCATCGCTCAGACTGTTTTCTTTGCTTTCTTGCAATGCAAACTGCAAAATTTGACCACAGTAACACTTCTTCCATGATATTACATTCACATAGTAGGAGATGTGATATTGTCACTGAAAGTTATCACAAAACTACATTAAAAATTTGTGCTGAAACCTGTATCATGTAGACGGATTTCTTGGCAACGACTTTACTGTAACGTTTTACCTGCACAGGTAAAACTTACGAGTAATCCTTGTGTGTGGAACGGCCTTAAGGCTGTAGTACTAACTAGTCTATAAGTACTCAGGCTTGGTCTATGGTTAGATTAGATGATATTTATCCTGCCCGACTGTCTCCTGGCTGGAGTTAAAATGCTGCATATATTACAGAACGGCAGTGTTGAGAGTGTGCTGCACAGTCCAGGAGATTCCTCTGATGGTTCCAACAACCCTGTAGGTCGAGACTCCACACCAGACACGGCTGCTACAATTGTGGACTCCTCTCACTATATCACAGTTGCCGGTAAATATTGTCATAAATTTACAGTCATGTTTTTAACCGTAAAAACTTTACATGTGTACTAATTGAAATAACATGACATCTATGTTCATGATGGAAAAAATTGGTAATATGAGGGTTGGTGATTTAAGGTTTCCATCGAGCCCTAGTGCCCAAGCAAGCTAGCTCAAATCTGACCTAAGCCTATTTTCTTTACTTTATTCATTCCTATTCTAGGCTATCCCCTTCTATTTAACGACTGGTTTTGTTGTAGTAGACAAAACTGATGTGATGGAAAATCTATGCTCCTGCTAAGTATGACTCATGTTTTCTGATTAGATTTATATTTTTTTAAGAGGCTGACCCCTATTAAAGTCCATCTCCAGTTAACGGATGTAGAGATACCTTTTGTAAAAAATGTGTATTAAGGGGTGAAAGTAGTCTGGAGACGGTTGTAAGAATTTGTACACTGTTTACGCTTCTAAATGTCTAGTTTGCCTCGGCATGCATATTTGTACAGCCTACTTCAAGCTCATTGAGCCTCCTGTTTTTCTACATCCATACATGTTTATGCCTCTTATGTGTTTATCCATACACATCCCCCAATTGGCTACAGACTTGAATAGGGGTTGATCTTTTTAGCAAAGAAATTGAATCACAAAACTTAATTTATGCTTGGCGGGAGCATCAATTTTCCCTCACAACGTTGCTGCTACTACGGCAAAACTAATACATAAGGGTTGGGCCCCTCTAGAATAGTATCGGGGAAGTAAAATACTCAGTGCTGGTGGCAGATTCAAACTGCTTGGCCATGACTAGAACTAGTTGTAGACCGTCCTTGATCCATGGGCAAACTCCCATATTTCTACTAGTTGATAAGTCCTATACTGGTTAGTTTTTTATACTAACACACACTGCCATTGAACATGGTATTGTCTGATTAGAAATCAATCAGTTTTATTTATATAGAAAATTAAATATTTTCTAAAAGAACAAGTGGTAATTTATTTTTTGGCATAAGACAGTAATAAAACTGTTTTTTATACATGCCTTGTAGGTCTAAAGTAGTTCTTTTTCACGGTAGGGAGTAAAAAGATTTTGTAGGCCCTAGAGAGTAAAAGTCAGCTGTTGACTTTGATTGTAGGTACATAATCGCATGTAAATAGTGTCAATTGTTTTAATTGATTATAGCTTACTAGGTGAAACCCGTCGAAATCGACGGTACCTTCAAGGCTTGCAACTGATATAACTGCGACAAATTGAGTGAAATTATACATATTTTGAGCATTTAGCATTGTTTAAAGAGTAATAAGTGTAAAAACAATAATGATATTAATTGCGTTAGTTGCCAAATATGGTTGATCATTCAATGAATAAAATATTTCCCATACTGTACATCATCGGAGTTATTATTAGTATGTTAACTGGTACATCTTCTTTTAGAAGAACCTTTAGATAGTATTAAAATCATATTGGTGGATCTTTTGTAGTTAAAACTTCCGCGATTTCATCTGTCTAATAAAGATTAATCTATGATTTTATTTGAGAAAAATATCTGTTTATTGAAAAGACACGTTCTAACTTTAAAAGGGAGGTCCATCCGTTGCAGTGCAAGTTTGATTTTTCCTTTGTCATGTCACGTCAGTTCATATCGTACTTCTGTGCCAATAAATAACCATCAAGCATAGTTTTGGGAAATCGGTTGGGGGGATGTTGAAGCTTATAAGACACTTCTGCACTTGTATTATTTTGCATTTTATTACACAATCGAAGATTTTTCCAATGATTTAAAACATGTATGGCAATAATCTCATAGTATGATAAAATATAATAGCCAAAAGTGGTGAAAAAGACAGACACCAACCCGTACAATAGATATAAGATAGTTCAATAAGAAATAATTGTTAAATAACAGTTACTGTGATAAAAGGATTTTCCACTGATTTCATAATGGAACGTTATATTGCAAAATATGACATGATACAGAAGAAAATCAATTTTAAAATCAGAAAATAACATTGCAAATACTTCTTTTGGACAATTCAGTAACTCCCAATAAATGTGTGTTGTTTAAAATACAATTTTAAATTAACAGCTGTTAACTTAGTTTGTGTAAATAGTAGCAATATGACAAAAAATTTAGTTCATCACACGGGTAAAAAGTGTCTTTTCAACCCTCGGCATTTTCAGACCTCGACTTTAAGAGCTTCATTTACGCCCTTGTGCTGAAATATTATTTTATTTTATGTTCAAAGCACCGTTAAGGACATAAATGATCTAAGTGAAAGTAAAAAGACAATACCAGTCAGATTTATGTATATAGCCTCCACAGTGATACTAACGGTTTGCTTGGTTGCATGCTGCAGAGGGGGCAGGTGCCCGATCCTACACCTCTCTAACCCCCGTCAACCCTACAGTCGGTAAGCTATCACCCCTCCTCCTGCACGTGGATGTTGTCACTTGTAAACTTGTCGGAATAAATATTGAAGTAGATGTATATTTTCAGGTCTGCAACACCAAGCATCAGTGCACTATTAGCATTAACTAGGCATGTTTCAAAAAAATTGTTTTCCAAAGTTTTTTAGGACGTAAAAATTGAAAGTTTTCCTCTATTGATTGTGTCTACTGTTTGACTATTGATGTTACTAGACATTCCACCACACTTTTACATTTGGGTTTAACACTAATGGCCCCATTTCATTTAGTGTTAAACCACGTCAAACCCAAATAAAATGCATTTAATATAAGAAAATTAGGTTTTTTGTTATTTACACAAAAACTAAAAGAGATACAAGTAAGTGTAAATTACAAAGTTGTTAGGAATTAAAAAACCTATAAAATGATGTGCCACTTGACACATGTTGCTATTTGAAAATTTTGAACAATGAGCATTTGCAAATGTGCAAATGTTCAAAAATGAATTATTTGGAATTTTTAATATTTCAAAAAACTGCTACTTGTTGCATATCACAGTAAAGGTAATTTCATAACGAGTAAGAACATTCCATCGGAGAAGGGCTAAATGCCCTTTTTTAAATGTTTAAATGTATAGAAAACACAGAGTATTAAAAAAATATAGATTTTTTTCAAAAAAACTGCTGCCATTTTGAAACGGAAAAAGATAATTAATTTCTGTTATCGCCAAAATGTTTGTCTATTAAATACCTTTAAAATGATCTATAACATGACATATGTTTACATTTGAAAATTACAAGATTCGAACTAGTGACCCTCAGTTTTTGGCACACCCTGTATTGGAAAAAAGTTAAAAATAATTTTACGTTAATCCTTGGGGTCGATTTAGCAAGAAATAATTTCATTTCATCCTTGTACGTTAAGCCGTTTTTCCGTAATCAATTTGAGACACCTCTCGTGGGACACTCTGTATGTATAAATATACTACAGCTGGTCAATGTAGATGGTATGTCTTCTTTAGTCAATTGTCTAACTTACTCAGAAAGTAAAGTAAGCTAAACTTTAGACAAACCTGGTATTATTTTTCTGCTCTCTGTATTTAAACACTAATCACAAACTACACACCATTGAAAGCATGTATCAGTATTCATCGTTCACAAAAAGCCTTAATAGCAAATTTTAAACTCACTCATTATATTTTTCCACAAAGCTTTAACAGAAATATTGTGATAGAAAGCTAATGGTTGTTTGCACCTCAGTTGGAATTTTTTACCTCATCACTTGTACATGGTTGGATCGTTGACTCCTATGTCTGTTGCTAAATGGTTCTCATATTCTTTAAGATTTTTTCACATTTTATTTTTAGTCTGGAGTAAACCTCTGCTTATATGGCAAATTCAGTAATCAAACTTTGGTTCTGGGAGTTTTTTTTTTACACTTTTATGTTTGGTAAATTATAGGTGTGTTCAAGAGGGTTTACAGGCTAAATGTTATTGAAATTATAATTTTTTACGGTCAAAGTATTGTCAAGCTTTAATTATTCAAGTTTTATTGAGTTAATTCAATCAATGTCTTTTGTCATCTTCACGTTATATTTGTTATTAATTTGATTTTTTTTTTCAAATACTTAGTTGAAGGGAGAATTCCTTCGGCAGTTAAACAGTAAATGTCCTAGAAGTTAATTTGTATGGTTAAAAACAAATGCAATAATGATTGAAATTGCTAGTTTAACTATAGTTAAATGTATAAAATTAGAATTGATGAAATATTGCAAAAATCTAAACACTTCTAAAACTGTAAGTAATATTTTTTGTCACTGTTTTTGTTTGTAAGAAACTAAGAATAACGAATCCCAGCGTGAGATGATGAGTCGAAGGTGGTACAATCTTGGGTCACTGACTTGGACAAACAACTCGTCATTATTGCTTGTTATTACTATTTTGTGCAGAGGCCCAGCAGTAATGTAGGGTGGCTGTAAATCTATTTGACATCCTTCAAAAGGAAGGGCTGTCACTGGTTAACTTAAGTAATTTAGGTTATACTTAGGAGAAATATCAATTTAAATGTTTGGTTTAGTGTGGAGAGAGATCTCTAAAGGTCTCTAGATTAAAGATAATTCTTATTTAAGAAATTTGCTATTTTTTACACAATGTGTAGACCTACAGCTTAAGAGTCCTTGGAACCTAGAGGTCCTAATTCATATAACAATTAAAAAACTACAAAGAAAAATTCTTATCCCACAGTACACTAGATATTTAGATTACTTTAGCGTTAAAAAAAATATTTTGAGTTGGTAAATTACTCTTCAGCGGCGGCTTGAAATTAATAAAATTAACATTCTTTTGGTAGGCATATCGAAGAAGGCTTCCATGGACTCTCTTGGAAAAGAATTCAAAACTACAAGAAAAATTTCTGATCCCACCGTGTCTTAGATATTTTCATTATAAACACTTTGGTGCTTGAAAAAATATTTTTGGATAATTATTAACTCTTCAGCAGCTATTTGAAATTATCCAAGATGGTCGCTAGTCTGCAAGGACTCTTGAAGCTAGGCTGTTAACCAGGTTGAGGTATTATCAAGTGAATTGTTGTTTGGGATTGGCGTGATTCGAACCAAGGCCTCCCCAATACAGAAGTTCTTTGCTCTAACCTAGGCATGTCCTGTGGGAATAGTACAGACAACCATTATTAATTCAGATTAATTAAGAATCCAAGTTGTTAGAATAAGTCAATTCAACTCATTTATATATTTTTATAAGGGACTTTTTATAGATTATTGTTGTTTTTGAGCAGTAAAAAACTATTTTTTGTTGCTGCAGAAAGTCGATATTTTTGATAACATCTGTTATTAAAGAAAGTAATTGTTTTCCAAGCTCTAATTTAGAGTAAGAGAAAAACAATCAGCTGATTTTCCTTTGCTTTAAATCAAGCTCTCAATTAGCCCACTATGAGGGCTAGTGTTTGTTTACAAATTAGTTTTAGCTAAATTCCCTACAGTGAATTACTGTAGCTATTATTATTAAAATCTGCTGTTTTTATTGTTAACCAATACAAATGTAAACAGAAAAGATATGGATTTGCTAGTTGAACATTACTTTGAACTTGAACAACTAATTTTCACGTTGGTATGTAGGTTTGCCATATCACCTTTCAGTTTCTTTTACTTCTATAAAAAAAAAAAAAAACATGATGGTTTTTATTTTACCGAGTTCTGTTATTTTGTGAAATATGAAATAACTTATTCTATTACTTTATGGCATTTTCCTGAGAGTGTTAAGAAACATTGTGTAGCAGCAACTTGTGATTCCTTATACAGTGTATAGTGTTGTTTTAGAATATGAGGTATAAGCAAATTTTTTTTAAATTTTAGTGAATTTAAGCTGTATAGACGTCAAGTCTTAATCTTTCTCACATATTAAGATGGAACGAGTACCGGTACATTGTTTTTAATTTGACTAATTAGCAATATTCAAAGTGGGTTAAGTAGAAGAACGTCGTCAAATGCAGACTAAGCGGATTATTTTGCGAGGATTAGTGGAGAGATGAGAGGGCAATTACGTAAAGTGGAAGCTGCGTAGGGTTTGTTACGGGGATCAACAATCGGAGGACTACGAGAGACTCGTAACATTAAAATTGTGACAATTAAGACATAAGACACATGTTGAGGGTTGTTGTTAGTGGTCTAGACGTCTTTTACTGTTTTCATTTGAAGTTTTAAAAGTGGATTTTGAATCAAAATCATTATCGGATTGTTGTTGTCGACTTACTTTTGCTGTTAACTTGTAAACATTGACTAAAGAATTTTCTTTTAAATATATGTTTCTTATTAGTTTTATTAATTTCTTCCAACAATCCTTAAGAACTTTATTTATGGGTGAAATTAAAGTAAACCCCTTTTTAACCTCTGTTTTACCATAACCTTATGATTTTTACAACCATAACCTTATGATTTTTATAACCATAACCTTATGACAAGTCCTGTATTTAAATTGACTTTTTTCAGCGACACTATTTGTCCAACAACACAATGCAAGCTCTATAATTTTTCAAAATAGAATAAATATAGATAGATATGTCAAAGGAAGGTTTCGGCGCCCACCACTAGGTTTGCCGTGTAGTTACGGCGCACACCGCTGCAGGCGAGGAGCGCAGAAGCCGTACGTGACCAACAGACGCTGCAGCGGTGTGCGCCGTAACTACACGACAAACCTAGTGGTGGACGCCAGAACTTATGCTAACCGCAGCACAGCTGACGGTCTATATTTATTCTATTTGTCTATGCTAATACGTAATAGTATTATTAACAATTTTGAAATCTGGGAATAGACTGTTATAATTTACACCATTCCACGTTCACTTAGCAGTACAAAGTGTTCATAAGCCATGTACCATTTTTTTCAAATCACAACTAATTCCCCAAAAGACCGAAATTTAGTATATATTTAACACTTCTATAATAATATTTTGCATCCTTTAATTTTGATTTTCTTTTATGAGAAGATCTAGCTTGTAGAATATTTTAACAAGGATTTTTTTACTCTACAAGACTTTCTGCATCATCTTCAGCCAAAAGGAGGCCAGCGTTTTATTTCCTGTACGTTCTCTTAATGCGATCGTACATATACATAGACACCAAACATATATGTACTATATGTAGACACGTAAATGTGTAATGTTGCTATATTATACAGTTCCAGACACGGAGACGGTGGGCAGTGACGGAGTGGGTCACTCCACATATGTTCAGTATGTGGAGAGTACACCAGACCAGGCTATCTACACCACCACCAACGGACAGATGTGAGTACCAGACATTCCTATCTCAAGTTAAAGTGAAGTTAGAATGAAAATGTACATTGTTGAATTTAGCTACCGACAGAGGGTGCTGATCTAAATTACTGGTATATCTGTTGAATATGCAAACTTGTTAACACATTCGCTGCGGCACATAAAATGGCAGGCGTATCCCCAGTGTGGCGCAGCCTGCAGCGTCGAACAAACCCGATTGCAGTGTGTGATTGGCTTTCAAATTTCGGTCTGACGAATAGCAAATAACTTTCGGGGATGTCCTGCTTTACAATGAGAGTTGTCGTAGTTCGCAAAAACATTCACAGATAGCATGCAGAACATAGCCGGTCCTATTCTGATTGTATTGCAAATTGGTGGGAGAAAGACAGGACAGGTGGGAACAAGTTGATTTTTTAAGCTTGCCAGACGGGGATTTTACAGGGAAATTTACTACCAACCTACACCACAAAAAAATGCAAGTCACACACTACACACTAACATGGGATGGGTCCGCATTCGACCGACGCTTGAGCAAAAACTAAGATATACAAAAGGCAATGCCGAGCGTTCCCGATCGGGTACTGACACACCCCACGGGCACCGAGCACCGTACCCGATCGAGAACGGCCGCACTCAACATGTTAAATAAGCCAAACTGAAAGGGCAATTTTTTTGTAGGCTGCATCATTAACCTACCCAACAACACTATTAGAGAAAATATGTTTTAGACTGTAGCACACTTTAAACATGCTAATTTGTCTACAATGTTGTTGGTCCATATAGAGGGAAGGCTACTTCAGTAGCCCCAAAGTTAATGGTGATATTAGTGGTTACAAATGTTAATTTGAATCTGCATCTGTAAGCCCCAGGAATGGTAAAATTTAGGAATTTAAATCTTGAAACTGAATAATTAATTCCAATAAACAAAATCCAAACAGTACCTAATCTACTCATGACATAAAGGTTGGGAATAATAGTTGGCAATTTGATTCCTCATTCAGTAACAGAACAAACTGTGTAACCAAGCCAGCGGTGTCGAGAGTTTGCGTCTCACTACTATTTACTACTACAGTTGAGTCTTGTACTGTACCAGTTTACCCCTTGCTTTGCTTCATAAGCAAGCACATGCCTGATGCCCATGAGGACAGGCCAACCTCTTAAAAACAATTTATTCATAATGGTTGGTAAAGGTTATATTTGATGTTGTGCAGATTGTATTGTAGTTTTGTATGTCTCGCAGGGCTTACCCGGTGTACACGGTGGGAGGGGAGAGTGGCACAATGTACACACCTGCGTCAGGGCAGTACTACACGCCTGGAAACTCTACCCCTGTCACTTACACACAGGTAACACTACAACAGAGAGAAACTGATAGTAGATTTGTCATGTCAAATATCAACTAAATATCCTATCTGTAGTGCTTGACTCCAGCAAGCTCAATACCTGTTGGACTACTGGTTTACTTCATCTTCTAGCAAATTTAATGTATAGATTACATGTGCTACTTTCTAACGATCCTGTGTGGTTAGTGTGACTGCAGCTGTTTTGTACTCGGTATATTGCCAGGTTAAAAAACGTCCATCTTCGTTATTGAAGTTGAAGTTGTCATTCTAGGGTTAAGGATACTCAGTTTTTGGATTTTTTTGACTAGATGGTGTATTTATATTGAGTATAAAACAGCTGTAGTCTACACTGTATAAACCTTAATTTTTATTATTTTAAATTCAGAGACTACTCCATCATTCATTTTCAGATACATCTGTGATTTGTTTTTTGAACCAAAAGGAATATGTGCGAGAATCTTGAAGCTAAGGTCCTCAGCTTTGTTTCTAAATGTCTTTAAGTAGGTTCAATAGATTCGGAAGCAAGTGGTTTGTGCAAAAAGCCATTGTGGTGTAGCAGATGTGCATTAGGCTACAGTCCACCTGTGTATAACCTATTAGGAACTTATATAAATGTATCTTTCTAGCATTGTATGGAAGTTTGGTGAATTTTCATTCAAACTGGTGAGTTGCTAAAGTTGGGTGTCCCTAGATGCGGAAGTGGAGCGCAGAACGTGGAGAGCAGAGTTGAGAGATGTGCGGAAAAGTGATTTATATGACGAAAACCGTTCCGCATCCAGGAAAACAGTATCATTAAATTAAATAAGACAAGAGGAGAGCGAACTCCGCTCTTTGCCCTCCACTTCCGCGCCTAGGAAAACCCAGCTTAAATATCCAAGTACAAGTTTTTGCATAACATAATGCCCAATCAATCCAAAATGTACAGATTTGTCATTGGAATATTATTTGGAATGCAAAACCAAAGGCGTTCCCAAAGATAAAGTAAGTACAAGACAGTCTGTGTGGTTGCAGGTAGCCAACAGCCTGAACCAAGGCGCAGGTAACCAGCTGCTCGGCAACACAACCTACTTGATACAGCAGAGTGTGGACAATGAACACACACTGATAGCAGCGTCTCGCAACAGTCCCCAGACTGTCACTGCGGTAAGTGAATATAGATATGTAATTGAATAGAGATAATTAATTTGAATTCTGGAAGGTTAAGATGACTTTTTATAACTTTTTTCGAGTTTTTTTCAATTTTACAAATCCTGACAATGTTTGAAAAACAATTTTTAGAATAAAGGTTTTAAATTTAATGTGTAGATTTTAATTTTCTGGTCAGAATTCTTCTGGTCACAGAGAAAACTAATTGTCACTGTAACAGAAAGTTTATGTTGGTTGTTTATTGTTGAAGTTTGAGACAGGTCAGGTTTACGAATCTTGCAATATAAAATAGTTACCGTCAGAATTTATTACCTCCCCCGAACTCCTTTTTTAGATACAAGTTGGGTTGGGTTAGGTTAAGTTAGTATGATTATTTTTTCTTCATTAATCAACAAATCTTACATAAATGTATAAAATATATGTATATAAAACTTGGGTTTAAAGGAGTTATGGAAACTAATGATTCTGATTTCTGACCATAGTAATTACTACTGCAAATCATTTTAAGTGATGTAATAAACCATTTCTGACATGGAGTGCTTAAATAACATTGAATTAATAATGGAAACTGTCAAATAACAACAATGACATCAATATATCTTGATGAACCTGTTAGTCCTGTCCTAACTGCATGTACATTGCTTACAGGGAGCTGGAATGCTTTACTAGCAGATACTAACTCTTAATTGGGTATGGGTATTGGAGTTTTAGATATATTGATACTAAAATCAAGGATATCATTTATGTAAAGAACTCAGCTACATTAAACAGTTCATCTCTGGCAGTGCTCATTAAAGTTTTTCTTCAACAAGTTTTTTTTACAAATAGTAAAAAAAAAATATTAATTCAGTTTGGTGTAGCTAGACTAATATAGTGTAACTTATTTGTTTGTCATTTAGGTTTACTTTCTCATTCTAATAATTTTGCTGTATGCATGTATCATACTATAAATTATTGAATAATCTTACAGTTGTGGCTGAAATACAGCAATTTTAGAGGTGTTAGATTAGCGCATGACTAAATTACTGGGAGTCTAGTATAATATAATTTTTAATTTCTTTGAGTTTCTTATACAGTCCAACCTCAGTATAACGAATCTGAAGGGACCGAACTGACTATTCGTTATATCAAGGATTTCGTTAAAACGGGGTTCGTTATGTAGAGGTTATGTTTGCAGGAATTTCGCTAAGTCGAGGTTCAGAACCAGCGTCGGTCAATATAGGTCGGGATTAGACATCATTAAAACACAATTAAAGTAGCATAGGCTACAATACTTTACAGTACAGTGTTTACATTGTACAGTAGAACCTAAATTATCCGGCATAAAAAAGGGAAGGGATCTTGAATATTGCGCAATCATGAAAATGGCATTGACCTTGATACAGGTTAAAAACTGTAAGTTTAAAATCAAAGTTTGTTCTAACCCTCCTAAAACCTAGCCAAACACTGTATTGCGTAGTCAAAAACCTTGTAAAGAACAAAACAAAACAGTAGTAGAAAGTTTTGTATGCTACTGCTCGTGATAGGCCGGTAAGCTACTTAACTGATTTATCACAACATAGGAATGTCAATAATAATCATTATAAAAGTGTATAATCATAGCCAATTTAAAGATAATAAAACACTCGAAAAAGGAATGTTAAAATAACGATGTTGCTATTCTTTCTCTTTGGTTTTGTTTTTATATTCTTTCTTAGGTTTCTCTTTTAACCAAAAATTGTACAATTCACCATAGTTACTTATCGCCCAATCACAGCTTACTAAACATTACGTCGTCATCAGTCCTCAGCGAATGAAATCAGTTGCAGTTCTCGTTCTCAGTTGCAACATAGCGCACGCAGCGACAGCAGACGGAGATGTGTAAAACGGAGCAGACGAATGTTAGCGCAAGCGATGACGTCACCTTTCCATTTCATTTGATAAAGAAACAGATTTTTCAAAAACAATAATGGCGTGGGGGATTTGTTATATCGAGGGAAAGACGTAGACAATTCGTTATGCAGAGGTTAAATTCGCAATGTAGAGGTTCTGATAATGATAAATTCGCTATATTGAGGTGTCTTATTTTAGCCGAAATCACGAAAAATTCGTTAAATCAAGGTCGTTGTTATGGTTTGTTCTTTATGTAGAGGTAAAATATACATTGTGTCTTATGGAGAGTTCTAGGGGATTTAAAAAAATTCGTTATATCAAGGAATTCGTTGTATCGAGGTTCGTTATATCAAGGTTAGACTGTATTGACTAATTTACATTTAAACTTAACTAAATTGTTTCTTGATACCCTATGTCATTGGATCAACCTTTAATATCTTGGATTCCCAAGCTCTATCAATTTTTGTTATTCTAAATATAATCCAAAACTCCAATTTCCTTATGTTCCTGATCATAGACTTTAGCTGGAATATCCTATCTACAGGGTGTCCCAGAACTCTCTGCCAATATTTTAAGGCATTGTTCCTGAGTAAAAACATATCTAAAGATCATATTTAAATTGTCCAGAAGTCCTTAGTTACTCACACAGCGGTTATTTTGTTTTTCACTTATTAAACTTTTTCCTAAAACCTAGTTAAAGATACGAAATTGAAACTTTGTACACAAATTTATGACAACTAGGCAAAACTAAAAAAATTTGACAATTTTACAAATTTAACCAACAAAATGGCGGCTATTTAATTTTTTTTCTTAAGTAACTCAAAAACCGTTGATTTTATAAAAGTTTTAAATGGCCACCACTTTTTCATGAATTTTAAAAATTGCCATAATGTTTGTAGCCCTATCTAGTTGTCATAAATGTTTTTGCAAAGTTTCAATTTCGTATCTTTAACCACTTTTTAGAAAAAAAAGTAGTAAGTTAAAAGCTAAATGGTGGCTTTGTGAGTAACTAAGGACATCCGGACAATTTAAATATGATATTTAGATATGTTTCATACTCAGGAACAATGCCCTAAAATATTGGTAGAGTTCCAGGACACCCTGTATAGTAGTATCCTATCTATAAATATCCTAAGTAGCCAGATAGTCCATGCTGCTATTAAAATTATATTTCTTCCTTAGATTAATTTTATACATATTTTATATTCTACTGTGGTTTTAAACATAAACATTGTCTCTCAGAGTCGATGGAGTGATCTAGTGATTGTTGCTTGATTAATTTAAATATATACCTTTTGTAGTTTTGTTTTAGTTAATTTGTAACTAAGCTCTTTAAAATAATTGTCAAAATTTTTTTTTATCTAATCCTGTTTTTGAGACACAGCCATTTTTGTTTAGCTTTTTGGGCTAATTTAGGCTATTACACTTCTCAGCTCAAAATTTAACGTCTAAAGACTGGTTAGTGTTACAGTAATGGAATTTGCACTATTTCAAAAGAAAAGTCTGTTCCCCATTTGAGGTCATTAGAGCCTTAAGTGTCAAACCGATATAACTCAAATACACAACAAAGTTTCAACTAGAACAAATATTTTTTTTTAGGCCAAAGAAAAATATCTGTGTCTAAAAACTGGATAGGGGGATGTGGGGGGGATAGCTTTGATGATAGGCATTGTAGCCTATTGCAACACAGACCGGTAAATTTACTCTACTCCAGCTGACTTCATCGGTCCCTCCCTGTAAACAATGACTTTCTGGTCTAAAAAAAGTACAGGAAGCAGCTGTTTACTATTACTATGTAGTGTGGCAAAAAATTATTTCCATTAATCAAGCAACAATTTTTTCTGAGTCACTACATGTGTATTAACTGTAACAGTTGGTAAATGTTGGTAAGTGTCTGGTAAGTTGCATTGGTTGTGGCGGGTGCATGATTGGTTGGTGATGGTAGGACGTGGCTTACCTGGTCAACTCCAGTGGTACCACTGCGGGCCCCGGCTGTCGGGACAGTGGCGCCAACAGCTCCTCATCATCTACCATAGACAATGAGGGATCCTCCAACCTGGTACATGCTACTAGAATATCACCCGCTACTGTAAGTCCCCGACGCTACTGGCCCCGTAGCGTAGACTAGGCAGGGTGTCTATGGGGGCGTCCTTGCGCCATTGGCGTTGTAAAAGAATGGTCCCAACTTTAAACTGTGCTCTTGTTACTTTATCATGTAGTAATAGACGAATCACTGGGGAGCGAGCTGGTCTAGTGGTTATAGCGCGGGACTCCGGTTCCTGGGGTCCCGGGTTCAAATCCCGCGAAATTACCAATGGATTTTATCCAAGTGTTAATGCCGTAACCCCTAGGTCTAGCCTGAAGTAATGTGAAAAACAATTCCGGGATTGTGCCTAGCGTCCTAGGAAAAAAAAAAGACGAATCACTGTTTAAAAGATTAGTTAAATAGATATTTATGAATGGATTGGAAAAATTTATTTAAATCATTTAGTCAGTTTTACGATATTATTAAATCAAATATTGTCCTTTGGTAGTATTAGTATTATTCCGTGAAAACATTTATTTATTAGTTAAAAAGTGGTTATTTGAAAAGTGAAGTCACTTTCTGTCTTAATAAACCAATAAGAATAACTGTGCGCTAGATGATTTGTGACATGACGTCTGAACAACCAACTAACAAAACCTATCCTTTCCTGAAGGTTTTTAAGCAACTGCTCCAATAAACCGCAAAGTCAGTAAATCACACAGTTCTGTCTAGTCCAGAGAAGCCTATAGAGTAGCTTATGGTGGTAAACTACACAATCGTGTAGATAAAAATAAATTTTTTCATCTGGCCTTCATCGAGTTGAAATAGAAATGTCCTGAAATCGTAAAACATTCAATTGCCATCACATTTGACCCAGCAGTTCCTTACAACATTTGCTCTTCGCAACACCACTCACCGTTGTTTTTCCATAACCAAGCGCTCACAGTCACGTTTTTGCTGTTTCTCGTCTTCAAACAGCGCAGCAGCTACTTTATAGCACACTGTTAATTATTTTTGATACATCACTCATGGATATTTTGATTCACTCAAGTTTCGAAATGGACCTTACTTTTCAAATAACCCTGATCAGTTTGATTTAGGATTTCCTCTCGGTACATCATCGATTAAGAGGGTCGGGTTTGCAATAGACACCCTGTTTATTGTAGCATGCCTTTAGCTTGCACCAATCATTTAGATTCACCTTTAGTGCTTGTAATGCTTGTCTTGTAGTTGTTGCTATTGACTGTTTGCATGGCTATTGCTAACCAACTGCTTTACACCTATATATCCTGAAAGCCTTGTGTACTAAGTGTGCTTTCAACATCGTCACAACAGTTTAAGTTTTTTTTTTTTTTTTGCTTCAATCAAACAGTTTTTTTTAATTAGCTGTCTCTTGAAAATGTTTTCAATTTACCCCATATTTATTAGTATATATTTTTTTAATAAGAAAATTCCTTTAAATGAACACCACTAAAGTTAAAAATTAGACTAAATAATGTTTTTGGAAGACTTGTCATTTGTGACTTATTAAAAATAACAAGACTGCCTTGTAAGACTGTCTCGATGAAACTAAAGTTGTAGGTCTTGTAACCTTGTTTACAAGAATTAAGTACATGTATAACTTTGATTAAATTCTAATCCTGGAATAGTATTTATTATTCTAAGACAAACAACAATTACATTTTTAGTGGTTACAAATTAAGAAAATCCACTTAAAATGAAAATGATAATAAATAGTATGTATTTAAAAAATCTAGTAACAGTAATATATCATGTTAGGAATAAAAAATACACAAAATTAATTGTAAAAAAGTTGGTTCTGTTCATAAAAGTCACAGTAGAGTGTGAAAAGGCTTAGTTATCCAGGACAACTCTTTCAGAAATTTTACTATTTTTACTTTGCTCAGTGTTTTTTTTTTATGTTGTTATCACAACAGTTTATATTTTGTTATTTGTTAAACTAATCTATATGGGATAAGTATTTAAAACTACTATTAAGTAGGTAAGTACAAAACCTACTTGTGTGGTTATATGCTGGTCTTTATTCACTTTGTTTGTGATATGTTACATTTTGAGTTCCTCAGCTCTTAAACTTACAGCATTAATTTGTTATGTTTGCTGTAATTTAGACAAATATTTTTGGACATTGAAAACAAATCTAGTTTTACCATCAAAGCAAAATAAATAGTAGTAAGTAACACTTTCAACTTTGGTGTTGTCTTCCAATTCAACTTCCCATCAACTTATTCACCTTTCCGTTCATTTTTCGTACAAAACATCAATGAAATTATGTTATGTAATTTAAAATCTTCTCTTAGAAATTTTAAAATCAAAAGATTAGTCCAACCAATTACAAAAAAACCTGAATTTCTCAATGAATAAGTAGGCCAATTAGTAAACAATTTACTATCTGCTTATTTGTTGTCAAAATTGTATTCAATAGTTAATTTAGATTTTTTCCACAATCACTAGCACAGTTGTTATACTACATAGCCACTTGTTGAAGTTTTAAAATACAAACTTACGCCACACGTAGATAAAAGATATACATTCACACTAGAGGTTAAAACTGATGTAAATTTGCACCTGTCGATTGAATGTAGCCTACTTAGTTGATTTCAATTGTGTACACAATAAGAAAACAACAGCTGTTATAGTCAAAGCAATGTTTAGTTAATGTGTGTGTATCAGAATCGGAAAAATGGTAAGCTATGTGTTATGTAATAATGTCAAAAATAAATACATCTTCAGAGTTTATTTAGTCAATTTTGTAATAGATAGATTGCTTATACAGTAACTAGTTTTCATAATAGTCTTGAATTTCTAAGTAATCCATCTATATGAGTTGCAGTTTTTGATGGATTATTATATTTTAATATTTACTGGTGTCAAACGTTTTTCAAAGTGGTGCTCAATAGAGGTTATCCCAGTAACTATAATCAGAAAACGTCAAGCACATTAAGAAGGACAAGGATACCTAATAAATTATAAAAAAAAACTACATATTCAAGGCGGGTTTACTTTTATAAAAAATGTGAAGCTGAGTGAATTTGCGATCGTAGCGAGAAGTTGATGACAATCTACATCATAATGGGAAAAAAACTACACGAAATGTTAGACAGAAAGTATCTTAAAATCAGTGTGTTTATGTAAAAACCATGCAGTTAAATTTATTTTGTCACAGCTGATTTGATTCGCCACTCTTTCAAGTTTATATTTTAAAATTATCTAATATTTTTATTTGGTAAAGACAGTTAAATATAGAATAATAAATCAAATCAGACCTACACAATTTTACTTGTTTCCTTTTTTGATAAAGAGCTAGTTCTCTTGCAGACCATAATGTGAAACCATAAACAATGTGGATGGTTCAAATTAGCTGATTAACTTTTGGCACTAAACATGTTGAGACTAGTACAGTAAACATTTACGTTATCTAATCGGATCTAGAAGTTATAAAAGTCCTTTTGACGTCCACAAGGCCATTCTATTTTGTTTTCGGTCTATGCCGATGGATATAGTGTTCAACTCGCTTTTGGTGCAGACTGTACCTTTTCAGTAAAGTGTTGACTTGGACAAGTTAAGCAGTATATACTGAGCTCTTGAAACTCTAATTTTTGTTGCTTATACAATGTGCAATTGCAAGATTATTTGTTGGAATTCTGAGTTCATGGAATTATGTTTTGTCAGAACCAAAAGTCCTTTGAAACATAACTTGGATGGTATAACCCCCTCAACCATAGGTATAGTCAACTCAGGGTGGCAAAGTAGTGAGGTTCCCAGAAACATATCACTCTACACAGATGAATTAGATTGATCAACTTGAATTGATCCCTAACCTAACACAGATTCTATGTACCACAGGTCCAATGGCTGCTGGAGAACTACGAGACTGCAGAAGGCGTGTCGCTGCCGAGATGTACCATGTACTGTCACTACCTTCGCCACTGTTATGATAACAAGCTGGACCCTGTCAATGCGGCCAGCTTCGGCAAACTGATACGTAGTGTGTTTCTGGGTCTGCGCACACGACGGCTCGGCACGAGGTAATGGTTTGACAGCAAACGCTGTTATGTGTTTAGAATTAGTAATCAACTCGTATAAATTTGTAGCGCTGGTTTGGTTATACGTTTCTTTTGCCATAACATTGTGTTATTATAATTAGGAGTATGAGCTTGAGAAAAATAATGTCTTCTGTGATTGCATCAAACTCGTGCCCATCACCCATGCGTTCATGGCAACACCATGATCAAATCCCACAATAAAGTATTTGAAGTTAAATATTTTGACGGATTGTACTTGAAAGTGTCATACAAACAAATGTTTGGAAATATATTTGAATCTATATTAGTAATATTTGAATAAACCTAAAACAAATAAATCATTTGGGAATTTAACTTTATTCAACCACCTTTATGTCTTTATGATTATTGTAACTCCCAAGGCTTGTCGTATGTGGATCCGCTCAGTGGTTTTTTGGACCATTGGATCTAGCTCCAGAAGAGGATGTTTAAGTTTTAGGAAAAAGATAATATTTTGTGTTCACAGTATCAATGCCAATACCAATTGGGTTAGTGATAGAGAGTATCATAAAATTTTTCCAAGACTGTAAAATAACAATCAAGGATTTTTTGATATTGTCGTATGAATTACAAAAGTTTATGCACCTATTACACATCTGTACTCTGCGAATGCACAGTGCCTCCGTCCTTCTGTCGCTTCCGTCTAAAATCGCTCGCTAGCCAAAAAGTGACTGAGACGGATGGAGCAGACTGAACTGAACTGATGAAACGGATCCTGTGTGTGGCTCTACATTTGAATACATGGGTTTTGAAATTTTCTGAAGTGACTGAACTGAGCGGACCCAGTGTACGAAATGCCTAAAACCACAGCAGGAAATTGAAATATGGGTTGAAACCCCATAAAACTGATTAACAGTTAGTGTTTCCCAATCAATAGTACCATAACTTCAGCTTTTATAGTTTGTTAGTTTGTTACACTGTTTTAATCTGTAATTCTTAAATTAAATTAAAAAATGCATACTATAGGCTACAAAATATTAACCCCTTGGATAGCTTTAGGATCAGATTATTACATTAAGAATCATAAGCAATGATAAGTTTTCCAACAATTTTTAAAATTTGTTTCAGGGGTAATTCCAAATACCACTACTACGGTATACGAGTCAAGCCCAACTCCCCCCTAAACTCTGCGACTGTGGGTGATGAAGCTACTTCTCTGTCGTCGCGGGTATCGAACCAGTCAACCCCGGGTCACAAGCGGTACAAGCTCATTCACAAGACGGAGAGCAACACCAGCAACGACTGTATCACAGAACACAACCACTCGTCCAATCACAGCTCACAGGTAAACTATTGTTCTGATATTTTATAAAATAGTTGAGGATATTTAATGAAAATCAGTATCTCATGGATAGAATTAACAAAGAAGTCACAAAGAATATTACAGAAATTTATTTCCTTTTAAGTTTCTGAGTAGGAATCTTTTTGATGAGGAATAAAGTTTAACCTGCTTAACTGAGAAAATAAGGGTCCATACGCCAATGGATAAACAACACTTTCACTTTTCTTTACTAAAAATTTATAATTGCTACAATAAAAACTCAATTGCAAATAAGTCACTGAACCGTCAAGTCTATAGCCAGATGTGTTTGCAACTGTGTACATGTAGCCTGTACAGTCTTATACACAAACAGGTTGTCCTTACCAAATAGTTTGTTATGTTGCAGTCAAACAACCACCAGTTTCTGGGGGACGGAGCCAACGCTATCCCGGAGTTCCCAGAGATAGAACTCCCTCCGGACTGCACTCTTCCAGAAGACTGCTCCTTAGAGGATGTTGATACTCTCCGTAGCATCTATAGGGAACATTGTGAGGTGAGAGATCATAGGAGTAACAAATATATTTTAGTGGAGTAAAGGAATTTTTTTTTAAGTTAGAGTTTAGCTAGGTTACCTGAGAAATTGTATTTTTGGGGGGGTAGATAACAGCATTGACTATTGGATGAATAGATACTGAAGTAGACATCCAATCTCTATGGAACAGCTGTCGCCAATTTATTACTGAAAAAGAACATAGTTGTGTGAGCCAGTCACAGAATGCGCTTGTGTCTAAAATTTTATTTCCACCTTATTTGATTGCTGACACAGGTGGTCGTTCTATCAGTTTGACTTGGTAAAAACGTTTGTTTATTCAACATAAATCAGTATTTTACATCAGCACAATCTGCCGGTGGCTCACATCAACTACGATTTTTATTTTATAATAATTGGTGATAACTTAAATATGGGGGTGGAATGTATAGTTTTTGTAGGTTTACAATATGTAGTTCTTATCTACAAAAAGTCTTAGATAGTCTGGATAGAAAAGATACCGGACATCTTTGCTTGTATTGAGCTGTGGCCAAACAATTTCAAGCATATTTTTTAAAATAAATGTTTTTGGTGACACGCATGGTTTTGGTGGGACTAGTTAGTTAGTTCTTACATAGACCATTTATCATTTCACATTATAAGAGAAGGGGAATATTGAAATATTTTAACTATTTATTTCCATGAATAATATTGTGCTTTTCTGTAATACTTGGGAAGCACTGTTCTGTTATACTTCCCAAAACAATTCTTAAGGTTTTAGGCCTATAAACTCAACAGGGTGCCCATGTCCACCCACCGGGAAAACCGGGAGTTATGCGTAAAATTCGTATTTTACCAGGGAATTTTCAATTTGCCACGATCGCGCATGAAGATGACGTTTCCGTGACCGCGGGAGCCGACGATGACGTTTCCGTGACCGCGGGAGTAGACGATGACGTTTCCGTGACAGCGGGAGACGACGATGACGTTTCCGTGACAGCGGGAGACGACGATGACGCTTCCGTGACAGCGGGAGACGACGAAGACGTTTCCGTGACCGCGGAAGACGACCATGACGTTTCCGTGAACGCGGGAAACGACGATGACGTTTCCGTGACCGCGGGAGACGACGATGACGTTTCCATGACGGTGGGAGCAGACGATGACGTTTCCATGACGGTGGGAGCAGACGATGACGTTTCCGTGACCGCGGGAGATGACGATGATGTCCAAACGGCCGTGGGATTTGTTAGTGATTTTGCCGCGATCGCGCATGAAGATGACGTTTCCGTGGCCGCAGGAGACGACAGTGACGTTTCCGTGACCGCGGGAGCAGACGATGACGTTTCCGTGACCGCGGGAGACGACGATGACGCTTCCGTGACAGCGGGAGACGACGATGTCGTTTCCGTGACCGTGGGAGACGACGATGACTTTTCCGTGACAGCGGGAGACGACGATGACGTTTCCGTGACAGCGGGAGACGACGATGACGTTTCCGTGACAGCGGGAGACGACGATGACGTTTCCGTGACAGCGGGAGACGACGATGACGTTTCCGTGACCGCGGGAGACGACGATGACGTTTCCGTGACCGCGGGAGACGACGATGACGCTTCCGTGACAGTGGGAGACGACGATGACGTTTCCGTGACCGCGGGAGACGACGATGACGTTTCAGTGACCGCGGGAGCAGACGATGACGTTTCCGTGACCGCGGGTGACGACGATGTCGTTTCGTGACCGCGGGAGACGACGATGACGTTTTCGTGACCGAGGGAGACGACGATGACGTTGTCGTGACCAAGGGAGACGACGATGACGTTTCCGTGACCGCGGAAGAGGATTATAATGTTTCCATTACCTCTGAAAAATATCAGAAATTTGTCACGACCACGAAAGACAGTGGTGATGTTTCTGTTACTGAGTGAGATGTATTTAGAATTTTTTAGTTATCGTAGAAAACGATGATGGTGTCTCTATGACAGTGTTAGATGGTATTGACATAGCACTATTTTTAAGACGTTATTGATAAATTGCAGGTTTAAGGATTAGTTTTAACTTTCGGATTATTTAATTAGTAATATATAAAAATTGAATACTTGTGTCAGGCAATTAATATTACAGTAATCATAAATTTTATTTCTTTAACTGTGAATGCTCTTTCCGATACACTAAACCGAGTTAACTAAAATAGTGAGCTGTGTTAGCGCTAAAACAGCATTGCGAGAGTTGGTGCAAGACACGTTGGAAATTTTAGTATAAAAAGTACGAATTGAACTACCTGGATTTTTTTTTTTACTCATGAATTACTCATGATTTTTTTCTGGTTGGCCTGGTAGACACCCTGCTTAAATAATCCAGGTTTAACAATAATGAATGTACTTTGCAGGCCTTCTTAGACGCTATCATGAACTTGGAGTTTGTTACGATTGAGTCTCTGTGGCGAGAGTTTTGGCGATCGCAAGATAACAACAATGGAGACGAGTGTGAAGAAGAGAAGTACTTGTCTAAGTGAGTGAACGTATATTTTTCCAACTACGCCAGAAGTATTTTGTTTAGCATTCATTAATAAAATCATGTGATACAGAGAGTCATATGACACTCACTGCCATTACTAACAATATCACCACCTTCTGTTTTATTAATAGAACCTTGATAGGAAGTATCTCATAGGAATTATCAAATATGACTTGAAATCAAGGTTGACTTCAAATAGAGGTTCATAATAACGTGTAATTAAGATCAATATAAAATCTTAGTATTTGTTATGTCAAGAGTCACAAGCTATGTTATGAGTTGTTTGTTTGTTTGTATCAAGAGTAGTGTGGCTTGTTATTAAGGTTCCAACAGTTGAACCTCAATAAGAACACCCAGTATACAACAGTAAGGTCAAATATCCCGATGAATTCGTTTTTGTATCGATATATGGAGTTTTACTGAAGTTTTGTTGGGTATTGTTCCAGTACCATATCTATCATTTTTCAATAACTTTGGCATTTACTACAAATTTAGTTTCATATGTTTGATGATTAATTTTACAATCTATGGTTTGTTCCAGAACCAAGCTGTATCTCCTCAGCAAGTGTTCATACATACAGCAGTTTGTGCGGAGGGTGGATTACCATTTTTACCAGAATCTAGTCGAAGTGCTCATTCCTGACGTGCTCAGGCCAATACCTAGTGAGTATTGAGAAATTTTATATGTATTGATTTAGTAGTTACAATCATATTTTCTTAAACTCCAGAGCATAAAGCATGTAATGTTTTTTTTATTTATTATTATTTAAAATGTTCCTGCGTAGGATTTCAATACAAAATACTTTCTTCAACAAGTAATATGAAATTAATTAGAAAAATCTGATATTACAATAACTTTTTTATTTTTACAAGAATAATAAACTGTTTTGTCTTACAATTTTTCAGGTTCCTTAACCCAAGCCATTCGTAACTTTGCCAAAGGTCTTGAATCTGGTCTCAACGCTGCCATGGTTGGATGTCCCCAAGATATGGTCAATATCAAGGTACTAGTGTTCCGTGTCTTATTCTTAATCTCTTTTCTCTTTTGTTCTTCACCATTCTTCTCCAGGCCTTCCTCGCTATATTCGATCTTCCTACCCGGAGGGGTAAAAAATTATGTAGCCTACATAAAAAACTTTTTACCAGTAACAAGGTAAACTTTCAAGTACTCGTATTTGCTAAGGATGGCTCTGTACAGTAATACTTTAAGGAAAATTGTCATAAAAGCTAGCTGAAGGAAGAGGTTTGGTTATTTCTTTTACTGAGTTTTGGTGGATATCTGTAGTCTCTAGTAATTTAATGGTAGGATAACTCCTACCCTTTCAGTAGGGAACTGATCATTGGTATTTATTTGGGAATGGACTTATTGCTTTGTTTGTTAAGGAAGGGTCAAAATCAAAACTTATTTTTGTGTCCTATTAGCACCTGTTCTTAGGAAAGCTAGCTGAAATCTATACCTTTCAAAACAATCCTTATCAGCCTTTCAGTCTATTGGCTTTTTTTCAAATATTCCTAAAGCTAACAGTGACCGATGTTTGCCTATAGGTGAATGCAGTGGCAGCGTTTGCCCAGACTCTGCGCCGCTACACGTCACTGAACCATCTGGCGCAGGCTGCGCGAGCCGTGCTACAGAACTCCACACAGATCAACCAGATGCTTGCTGACCTCAACCGTGTAGACTTTCACAACGTACAGGAGCAGGTGGGCACAGAGCAAGTCACTACAACAAAACCTTTGTTGTTGCGTGCATAAACACTCGGGTATACACATCTTTTCATGCAAAACCTAGTCCAATGAAATTAAGTTGGATTATCAGTGGCTACTTTTTCTGTACCGTATAATGCACACATTTTCTCTGTTCCAGGCTCTTTATGCACACAACGACTAATTGACTTGAAACATTTTGCATCTATCAATTTCTATGTAAAAAATTATGTCAGAATTAAAGCCAAGCCGATTTGTGATTATTAAAGTCTACTACTACTATCAAACTGCTCTATACAATGTAGATTGAGGGTTTGAATAGGTTTGAATCCTATCATGGTTGTCCAGCTTGTTTGATCCATTTTACTATTAACTTATCGCTACTGTCCCTTTTTCAGATGCCCGGTTGTAAAGTCTCAGGATTGTTAAAATAAGAAAAAGTAGGATTTATTTTACCTAGTCTTGACTCACCCTCTGTTTTGATACTGCATCAAATTTTTTTTTGTATTTTGCTATGCTAGCTGTTAAATATGCATAAATATTTTTCAAGCAATCTCCATGTTTATTCATCATGTGCCGTGTTCCAAACCCTAATAACAACCTTACTTTCGATAGACTAGCTTCATAAAATATGCGTTTTTGGTCCAAAGGATGTACTCCTTTCTTTTGGTACAAAACAGCTGTAGACACTAAATATAGGATCAATTGACTGAAGCACAGGTAAAATCAACCTAAAATTTTAAGTTTTGTATTTTGTAAGCCGTATTCAGTGTACATCTGTTTATTAGTAATCTGTTCAGACTAATTGCACACACCAAGCTCATTTGTCTCAACTACATCTCTGTTCCCAGGCATCATGGGTCTGCCAGTGTGACGGTATGCTGGTACAGAGGCTGGAGGCTGACTTCAAGGTGACACTTCAGCAGCAGAACTCCCTAGAAGAGTGGGCCAGTTGGCTGAAGAATGTAGTCAGCACGGTGCTGAAGCCGTACCAGGGCAAACCTAACTTCACCAAGGCTGCCCGACAGTTCCTGCTCAAGTGGTCGTTCTACAGGTGAATATACCTAGTGTTTGTCAAGATGTAGAAGTAGAGTACTGCTAATCTAAACAAATCAGTAATTAGTTCCATGTTTGGATTACATAATTGTTCGGGTAACCCTGAAATTCAGTAAAGTTGCTTAGAAATTAAAACAATGTATTTTTATGACTGTAAACGCCACATGGACAGATATCGCTCCTGCAAAACGTCAACACTGCAACGTAATTGCAGAAACTTCACAATGGACAATGATCTTAATTTGTCATTGTAAAAAACCTTGTTTGGTCCCCGATTTTGAAGTTCTAAAGCAAAAATCATGATGTTGAGGTTAACTCCAATTTGATGTGGCATTTCCTTATTTTTATGAATTTTAATTTCAGTTTCACCTGGGTTTTACTTTTGAATTTGTCTTAAAATATATTATTTTCATGTAATCTGTCAGTAGTTGTTAAAACCTTTTCTTTTTCATGTTATAAATCTTACTCTACAATCTCTTTCTATTTATAGTTCGATGGTGATTCGAGACCTAACCCTGAGGTCTGCCGCAAGCTTTGGCTCGTTCCATCTGATCCGGCTGCTCTATGATGAGTACATGTTCTATCTCATTGAGCATCAAGTGGCCTTGGCGACTGGAGAGACTCCCATTGCTGTCATGGGCGAGGTGAGTGAACGAATCGTTGCAACTATTGCATATTTTGATGTATAATATTCTAACTAGGGATGGACGGGTCCCGAAATTTCGCGAAATTTTCGGGGAAAAAATATTCCCGATTTTCGAGACGGGATTACATTTTATTCAGGAATTTTTCGGGACGGGATTTGGTCAGATAGTCGGCGTTTTTGCCGCTTCGCGAGTGACGATGACGCCGCTATCACAAGAGATGTTCACGATAGTTCCGCGAATGCAGGAAGCGAAGTCATTTCGACGATCGCGCCGTGACCGCGGAGTCATACCAGGGTGTATACCAACCAGGACCGGGAGAACCGGGAAATAACCTTGAATTTGAAGGGACCTGGAAAAAACCGGGAAAAAGCCGGGATTTTTGGACCGATTCCGGGATTTTTATTTTAGCCCCGGTAGAAGATTGTAGTTGTAAAATGCGTCTTGCCGCCATTGCGGGCGACGACGATGACGTTTTCGTGACCGCGGGAGACTACGATGACGTTTCAGTGATCGCAGGATACGACAATGACATCTACACGTCCGCGGGAAATGTTCATGATTTGCCGCGATTGCGGACGACAACGACGACGTTTCAGTGACCGCGGGAGACGACGATGATGTTTACATGGCTGCGGTAAATATTAATGATTTTACCGCGATCGCGTACATCGACGATTACGTTTCCCTAACTGCTGGAGTCAATGATGATGTCTACACGGCCGTGGAAGATTTTCATGATTTGCCGTGACCGCGAAAGATGACGATGATGATTTCTACACGGCCGCGTGAAATGCTCATGATTTTGCCGCGATTGCGGCCGACGACGATGACGTTTCCGTGACCGCGGGAGACGACGATGACGTTTCCGTGACCGCGGGAGACGAAGATGACGTTCCCGTGACCGCGGGAGACGACGATGACGTTTCCGTGACCGCGGGAGACGACGATGACGTTTCCGTGACTGCGGGAGACGACGATGACGTTTCCGTGACCGCGGGAGACGACGATGGCGTTTCCGTGACCGCGGGAGACGACGATGACGTTTCCGTGACCGCGGGATCAACGATGATGCATACACTGCCGCGGGAAATATTCATGATTTTGCCGAGATCGCGGACGACCACGATGACGTTTTCGTGACCGCGGGAGACGACGATGATTATGTCTACACGGGCGCAGATGTTTATGATTTGGCCGAGATCGGAACGACGGCGATGACGTTTCAATATCTGCGAGAGGCAATGATGATGTCTACACGGCCGTGGAAGATTTTCATGATTTGCCGTGACCGCGAAAGACGACGATGATGATTTATACACGGCCGCGTGATATGCTCATGATTTTACCGTGATTGCGGCCGACGACGATGACGTTTCCGTGACCGCGGGAAACGACGATGACGTTTCCGTGACCGCGAGATCAACGATGATGTTTACACTGCCACGGGAAATATTCATTATTTTGCCGAGATCGTGAATGACGACGATGACGTATGCGTGACCACGGGAGACGACGATGATGTAGACACGGCCGCGGGAAATATTAATGATTTTGCCGAGATTGCGGACGACGACGACGATGACGTTTCCGTGACTGCGGGAGGCTATGATGATGTCTACACGGCTGCGGAAGATATTCGTGATTTGCCGTGACCGCGAAAGACGACGATGATTATGTCTACACGGCCGCCGATGTTCATGATTTAGCCGCGATCGCGGACGACGACGATGACGCTTACGTGACCGCGGGATCAACGATGATGTTTACACTGCCGCAGGAAATATTCATGATTTTGCCGAGATCGCGGATGACGACGATGACGTATCCGTGACCACGGGAGACGACGATGATGTAGACACGGCCGCGGGAAATATTAATGATTTTGCCGAGATTGCGGACGATGACGACGATGACGTTTCCGTGACTGCGGGAGGCAATGATGATGTCTACACGGCCGTGGAAGATTTTCATGATTTGCCGTGACCGCGAAAGACGACGATGATGATTTATACACGGCCGCGTGATATGCTCATGATTTTACCGTGATTGCGGACGATGACGTTTCCGTGACCGCGGGAAACGACGATGACGTTTCCGTGACCGCGAGATCAACGATGATGTTTACACTGCCACGGGAAATATTCATTATTTTGCCGAGATCGTGGATGACGACGATGACGTATCCGTGACCACGGGAGACGACGATGATGTAGACACGGCCGCGGGAAATATTAATGATTTTGCCGAGATTGCGGACGACGACGACGATGACGTTTCCGTGACTGCGGGAGGCTATGATGATGTCTACACGGCTGCGGAAGATATTCGTGATTTGCCGTGACCGCGAAAGACGACGATGATTATGTCTACACGGCCGCCGATGTTCATGATTTAGCCGCGATCGCGGACGACGACGATGACGCTTACGTGACCGCGGGATCAACGATGATGTTTACACTGCCGCAGGAAATATTCATGATTTTGCCGAGATCGCGGACGACAACGATGACGTTTTCGTGATCGCGGGAGTCAATGATGGTGTCTACACGGCCTCGGAAGATTTTCGTGATTTTGTCGTGATTGCGTTCGATGACGATGATTATGTCTACACGGCCGCCGATGTTCATGATTTAGCCGCGATCGCGGACGACGACGATGACGCTTACGTGACCGCGGGATCAACGATGATGTTTACACTGCCGCAGGAAATATTCATGATTTTGCCGAGATCGCGGATGACGACGATGACGTATCCGTGACCACGGGAGACGACGATGATGTAGACACGGCCGCGGGAAATATTAATGATTTTGCCGAGATTGCGGACGATGACGACGATGACGTTTCCGTGACTGCGGGAGGCAATGATGATGTCTACACGGCCGTGGAAGATTTTCATGATTTGCCGTGACCGCGAAAGACGACGATGATGATTTATACACGGCCGCGTGATATGCTCATGATTTTACCGTGATTGCGGACGATGACGTTTCCGTGACCGCGGGAAACGACGATGACGTTTCCGTGACCGCGAGATCAACGATGATGTTTACACTGCCACGGGAAATATTCATTATTTTGCCGAGATCGTGGATGACGACGATGACGTATCCGTGACCACGGGAGACGACGATGATGTAGACACGGCCGCGGGAAATATTAATGATTTTGCCGAGATTGCGGACGACGACGACGATGACGTTTCCGTGACTGCGGGAGGCTATGATGATGTCTACACGGCCGCGGAAGATATTCGTGATTTGCCGTGACCGCGAAAGACGACGATGATTATGTCTACACGGCCGCCGATGTTCATGATTTAGCCGCGATCGCGGACGACGACAATGACGCTTACGTGACCGCGGGATCAACGATGATGTTTACACTGCCGCAGGAAATATTCATGATTTTGCCGAGATCGCGGACGACAACGATGACGTTTTCGTGATCGCGGGAGTCAATGATGGTGTCTACACGGCCTCGGAAGATTTTCGTGATTTTGTCGTGATTGCGTTCGATGACGATGACGTTTATGTGACCGCGGGAGTCAATGATGGTGTCTACACGGCCGCGGAAGATTTTCGTGATTTTGCCGCTATTGCGGACGACAACGATGACGTTTTCGTGACCGCGGGAGTCAATGATGGTGTCCACACGGCCGCGGAAGATTTTCGTGATTTTGCCGTGATCGTGGATGACGATGATTACGTTTCCGTGATCGCGAGAGACGGCGATCATGTATTCTTACCGTGGAAGATGTCCAGGATTTTTCTATGATAACGTAAGACTGTGATGACGTTTACGTCACTGTGAGAAGCGACCACACGACCGCAGGAAATATTCAGGATTTTGCCGCCGTTGATAATGTGTTCATAAAAAATGAAGATAATATTCAGGATTTGGCTGCTATCGAGAGAGACGATGTTTCCGTGGCCTTAAGTAATGATGATAATGAAAATTATTACTATAATAAGGATTATTACTTTTTAAACACTAGCTCACTGGACTTTGAAACAAATTTGATGTAAGTTTATATTGTATACTTGAGCTGCAAGTCTTAAATTGATTATAGTTTAAGTGGAACCAACAAATACGCGGGAACCTGGAAAAACTTTGAAAAACCAGGAAAAAACCTGGAAAAAACCTGGAATTTCACTTTAATAAAATAGTATACACCCTGCATACCGACGATCGCGCCGTGACCGCGAGTCATACCGACGATCATGCTGTGATCGTGAGTCATACCGACGATCACCCTGTGACCGCGTAGTCATACCGACGATTACCCCGTGACCGCGAAGTCGTACCGACGATTACCCCGTGACCGTGGATTCATACCGACGATCACCCCTTTGGCTGCGGATTCATACCGACGATCGCGCCGTGACCGCAGAGTCATACCGACGATCGCGCCGTGACCGCAGAGTCATACCGACGATCGCGCCGTGACCGCAGAGTCATACCGACGATCGCGCCGTGACCGCGGGTTCATACCGACGACCATGTCGTGACCACGAGTCATACCGACGATCGCGCCGTGACCGTAGAGTCATACCGACGACCTTGCTGTGTGATCGTGAGTCATACCGACGATCACCTCGTGACCGCAGAGAGAGACCACGAGTCATACCGACGATCCTGCAGAGACCGGGTGCCATACCGACGATCACCCCGTGACCGCGGAGTCATACCGACGATCGCGCCATGACCGCAGAGTAATACCGACGATCGCGCCGTGACAGCGGATTCATGCCGACGATAACCCCGTGACCACGGAGTCATTCCGACGTTCGCGCCGTGACCGCCGCGGGTTCATACCGACGACCATGTCGTGACCACGAGTCATACCGACGATCGCGCCGTGACCGTAGAGTCATACCGACGACCTTGCTGTGTGATCGTGAGTCATACCGACGATCACCCCGTGACCGCAGAGTCATAACGACGATCTCGCCGTCACTGCGGAGTCATACGGACGATCCCACAGAGACCACGAGTCATACCGACGATCCTGCAGAGACCGGGTGTCATACCGACGATCACCCCTTGGCCGCAGAGTCATACCGACGATCGCGCCGTGCCCGCAGAGTAATACCGACGATCGCGCCGTGACCGCAGAGTGATACCGACGATCGCGCCGTGACCGCGGATTCATACCGACGATCACCCCGTGACCACTAAGTTATACCGACGTTCGCGCCGTGACCGCGGATTCATACCGACGATCACCCCTTGACCACAGAGTCATACTGACGATCACGCCGTGATCGCAGACTCATACCCACGATCATGTTTCATACCGACGATCATGCCATATCACCCCGTGACCACGGAGTCATATCGACGTTCGCGCCGTGACCGCGGATTCATACCGACGACCATGTCGTGACCACGAGTCATACCGACGAGCATGCCGTGATCACGGAGTCATACATACGTTCGCACCGTGACCGCGGATTCATACCGACGATCACCCCTTGACCACAGAGTCATACTGACGATCGCGCCGTGATCGCGGACTCATACCGACGATCACGCCGTGACCGTGAGTCATACTGACGATCATGCCGTGATCGCGGACTCATACCGACGATCATGCCGTGACCGCAAATCATTTCGACCGTGAGTCACAAGTTTCAATTGGTACCTGTAAATTGTTACCCATTTTTTGTTTTTATAGATCACTGCCACAACGGTAAAAATTGATTTTCGTTTTTGGTAACTGCATTACTCAAGCCTTTCTTTTTATGCAAAGGAAAAAATCCCGTCCCGAAAATTGGGAAGGGAATAAAAATCCCGTCCCAAACTAAAAATTCAATCCCGTCCATCCCTAATTGTATCATCAGCAGCTTTGAATGCATTGTTTGGGGATTAAACACTTAGCCATAACATTTATTCTGTAATTATTTATTATGAATATCTGTTTATTTTATTGTGTAACATTTTTACAAACATAAAAATGTGTTGGTAGTAGTGTACCTTTTTTCCTCAAATGAGTCAAAACCATATCAAAAAAATAAGGTAAGTTAGAAAAATAGAAAATTTGTATCTAAGAATATAGGATTTTTTTCACGAAACAGAGTTTGCCACTAGGTTATTAACTGTGAATATATTTTCTTACACAATGAGACACTCTTTGATCCTATATAGTGAGTTTGGTCTCTGAATAATGTCATTTAACTACCAGCATCCGGATATGTCTTTAAATGTTGGAGTTAAATACATTTTCCTGCAGATACAGTATTGACAGATTCCTATCATCGATATTTACAAAAATCCCTTATTTTTTGTGGTGTTAAATAATTACTGTCATAGAAGCATTAGCAAACAATTGCAACTGAAGAAATGTTACTGCTGAAATCTGACCATATCTAACAGTTTAGGTAAAGCTGTATACATCTTAAAACTAAGATATATTGATGAAAAGCAATGGTTTAGATGAGGGAAGAAGAAACTGGTCCAAGGGCACTTTAGAGTAGGCCTACACCAAAAACGTTCACAACACATTTTATTTTATAATTCACCTCTATAAAGGGGACTTCTTCAGAAAGAAGTAGTAAAACAATGTTCTGTCACTCTACTATTTATTGATTTCCTTCTAAATTAACCTCTTTAAAGAGGGGCATTATTAAATTAATTATGTTGTCAAGTTAACTCTTTGGTGTACTGGAACTTTTCTTGGACAGGTTAGTTGTGTATCCATTATTGCTTCCCCTGTGTATTCCTAAAGTGACTTGTGTATTGTCGCAGAAGTGTGGCGGCTCCAGCATGCTAGACTACCCACTTGACTCACTGGCGTCTTGTAATGGAGATGAGAGTTACTTAGGTTTGGAGCAACATCTTCCATCAGCCAAACGCATCAAGCTCAGCTAACCGGCCCCTACCACCTGCCCCACCTTCTAGTCCACCACGCCGCTTGTCCTACGTAGATGTGCCATGACAACAATTGGCAGTTCTAACTAGAAATCTTCTGTTTATTTTATAACGATTATACAACTTAATTTATTAACGGTTTTTACCGTAATCACACTGTTTTAATGCTTTATATGGTCTCCTGTAATGGACGTTTTGTGTGATTTGATGTTTTGCACTGTTCAGTGTTTTGTCTATTTCTTTAATAAAGAATTTGATCTCGATATGTTTAGTTTTATAGCTAGTGTGTTGTACGTGTGCATATGTTCACTCTCGTTTCAGACTGATGTGCTAGTATATGTAAATTTGCTGTATTGTTATTTTCGTTTGTCCGTCCGTTTTTCTCCTTAGCTGTTGTTTTATTGTGTTTGTGATGTGGTTATTACTGTTATTTCAGTTGAATTTGATTGTTTTGATCCTTCTAATGCAGTGATTGATGGTTTTTATTAATAGTTGTTAATCGAGTGCTGCCAAATTTCATGGTAGGAGCCACATTTATTTTTAATAAGATGTACAGTTGTTGATAGATATTTTTTACTCCCTTTCGTGGCTAGAAATTTAATATATTTTTGTGGAAGTTTAATTTACTTTTTCTGCTTTAAGTTTTGAGACTGTTTAGTTACTGTCACAAAGGTGAAATATGCTTTAACTTATTTATTTATGTATTTATTTACCTATATAAAATTCTCATTGGTAAGAATTAAGTAATATTTTCATTGTCTTTCTCAGTAAACAAAATAACTGTTCGGTTTTGATGTAAAAATGTTTAAGCACAAAAGTTTGTTAACAGTAGGTAAATATTTTGTCTAGTTGTTCATAATGAAGTCTTCAAGCGGTGTCTTACTCCCCCTCTTTTACTGTACAGATCCACTCTAGGTGTTAAGAACCACATGGCTTTTATAGTCTTCTAGATCTACTTTTGGCACGTAATGTAAGATAGTCACTATGTTTTTACAAACTGATCAACTTGCTTGAAATATTTTACTACAGCAACTCATTAATGTTCAGTTTATGTTTCGTATTTTGGAATTAAAACTTTTTAAAAAGCGTACTATCTATGTTGTTAGTCTTTAACCTATATCACCCTCTTAAAAAATCTTAACATGTTTAAGCCAGTGAGTGGCTTTATTTAGACTGATCATGTTGTAAGTTCAGCAGGTTTCAAACACATTATTTTCCCAAGGCAATGCACTTGTGGCAAGATTTTACAAAGGATCAAATGGTCTTTCAATATTTCATCTGTAAACACATGTTTCATCTATCAGACGTAATTCTTTGTGTCTGGTATTTAGGAAAAACTCATGAACCGACTGGGTTGAAATTTTAAATTTTACACAAAAGTAGAAAGTTTAGCAGTTTGATATATTTCTTTTAATTAGCAACATAAACAATAACTCCTCGTCACTAGTAGGTGCCATATTTGACTAGCAGCCCAACAGTACTGTAATGCAAACCCCAAACAAAAATAGCTGTCATTTTTTAGTGACCGTAGATAAAAAAACATGGGTCACTTCCTGGTCCAGTGACCTAGTGTGAAGGCGGCCTAACAGTTTTGAGGTTTAGAAATAATATACATGTTTTGGTTTTGTTTAGTACATGTTATTAGCATAACCAAGTATGCAACTCAGGTCTACAAGAAATATAAATACAAACAGTTGATATACAGAACAGCGTTACACGTATGGAAGATAAAATATACATAGGTAGTATAATTTACATGTCACTTGGAAAGTGGTAACATTACTGAACCTGGCAGGAAATAATTCAGGATGGATTTCTTCAATACATCTCATCCGCAATGACAATCCTGTTTGTAACTCAGGTTTGTAAAACTTCGTCAAATACAATATTGCCACTGCAGTCGATACCAAAACTAATGGAATAGGCACTCAATAAAAATGGCACAAAGATTGGAATCAAGTGAGACATTGCTGACATCAAAACACGGTGCAAGCTTACGACATAAATATACCACGTTAGTTGCTATTTTGTTCAACAATGGCAGCGGTTTATGTACAAGATTAGACGGATTAACAACCACAATGTTATCTTGTCTTATGTATCAACCTCCTGAAAAGAGTAATTTTCAGTTTCACCTGCATTTTTAATTAGATAACCTTTTTATAGTGTAAAATACCAATAAAATACAACCTAAATAATTATTATAAAATCTTAGTTTTTTTTTTTTGTAACAAATTGCAAAATCTAATCCCCTTTTCTTCCAGTGATGAATTTAGGAACAGTTTTCATCAAAATTACTGTAAATAAGAACAATAAAACGTAGTTCAAGGGTATAGTTCGGCCGCTTAGAAAACGACCTGGGCGCTAATGCTAAACCAATGCTGGAGGAGGTCGTTTTCTAAGCGGCCGACCTATAGTGGTGTTGTCTTGGAAAACACAAGCTTGTTATTAAATTATAAAAAAAACAAAAACAGATTGGTAACGTTGTTTGCAGCCTACAACACAATTGATAACACGAGAGCATGCAAGAAGTAAAAACTTTTAACAGTTTCCAAAAGCCAGTTCTCTTTGAAGCTATTTTAACTAATTATTCATAATACTTTATTTCACACCATGTGTTTCAAATAAGACAAGAACGCCATTGTGGTTCTTAAGTCAATCAATAAAGTATCTTTACATTACTAAAACTTCCAACCTGGTACAATAAAGAGTAATGTACACTACTTACTTATCAACTGCATATACTTATCAGTCTGCCATTTTTAATGTAACAACAATAGTAATTTGTCAAAGATATAGAAGTATAACATCATTATATAAGTCTTATATTGTAGAATTAACAAAAAACATCTTCACATAACAAGTTTCAAATCATTGATTAAATTATTAGAAACAGTTTAAAAGGGAACAATGTCATAAATATTCTAACAATTTACAAATTAAGTATAAATATGAAAAATGTTTAAACGTTAATAAAATTAACTATACAACAAAAAATAAGAGTTCTATGCTAACTCATGTCTAAACATTGATTTCATTCTGGTTTTTCCAAGTCAACAATTGCGTTTAACATCTCAAAAAAGCAATATTAAAACTAAAACACAACATGCAAATTGTAAATTGTTTCAAGTTTTAATTATTTGTAGGAAAAATCATTAGACCTAAAAAAGTAATAAATGTACATAACTAGAAATAGATGAAAATTTAGTTAATGAATAAGGCAAATAACATAAAGAATAAAACATTTGGTAGAGTTGTATTAAAATGATCCAAACATTATTTACAACAAAAATGGCTCAAGTTAAACTTTGAGTTGAGCTGGAATATGGAATACATAAAAAAAATTCTTTTACAAAGCAAAATTGTTTAAAAGATCAGGATATATTTCCCGAAATTAAATTATGATTCCTTAGGAAACAATTAGCCAAACCTGGAATATAACCTGGTTACAAATTACCAGACATGGAATACCAAGACCAACATTAAGACATAAGTCACCAAAGAACAAGAGGAACGCCTCATACAACAACTATACAGTAATCTGTTAAAGCCTAAGTTTTCATTAAAGCACATTTACTTACATCCTAATGAGTTCAGACTCATGTAGTCTAATTAAGTAGTTGGGGTAACGATTCATTTAGTAAAATATCAAATTACCGGAGGAATACGCTCTCATGACCATAGCAAAACCTAGGTGTAAAATTCACTACAACGTATAAAAAAACGAATGATAGATTTGAACTTTAGACTCGAGTATATAAGAAGAACATTTTGTTGGTAATGTCACCATCGTCCCAGTCTTACTTGCGAGTGATGTGTGTCCATTATTCTCATGACAACGTTATAATTAAATCTACTGAGTAAACATAAAAAAGTATTGTGCTTAGGTGATCAAAATTTTAACAGACGGATTCTTAAACACAGAGCCAGTTTTTAAATCTTACTTTGCAATGAATTCCCTTTGATCTGTTCTATTTGGCTATTAGCGGTCATAACATAATCGAATGAAAACTAATACCCAAGAACAAAAATGGTTTAGTTGTTGATTAAATTATAGTTCAATCAGTTTTATGTTTGCAAGTGAATTCAACACCGATTGGTCCAGATCGGACTAACAATATTTTTTCCAAAGAGATTTACGTCAAAATTTTACATTTCAAGAGCATTACTTTTGTTAAAGGTTAATTTTCTAATCAATCTTAACATAAAATAAGTATTACATTACACAATGATGAAATTTTTAGAATTCTTACTCACTTTTACAACCGTGATCCATCTTACTATCAATAGACAAAATGTTATCAATTTACAACACAAAAACACAACATTGATGTAAAAAAATTGGAAAAGGAGAAAAAATAAATTTAGTCTTAAAGTGTATTCTGCAGTAAGCTAATTGAGAGTAGTAAAAAATATTTGTAAAAAGTGTAAAGTAGAATATGAACAACAACAATTAAACATCGATTTGTGGCTATGTACAACTATCACAAGTTCAGCTTACTAACTTAGAACATTAGTTTTTGTGCACAAAACTAAGTTAGCTCATCAACATTTAGCTACAATTAACAGCAAGTCGAGGTGAGCAATCGTATTTCCGATATCAAACCTTTGTCTTACGCTTACCGTGGGACAACTAGGATACAACAACGAGTGGCTACGTCTAACGCTACGCTACGTGTATTGAGCAATTCTACCTACGTTGTACGGAGCATGCAACACCGCGAGGATGGCGACATCACCTCGGTCGATCGACACTCAACATCAAAATAGACATTTAAAAGACTATCTGTCGTCGACAGACTACCTAAACCGTTTAGTCGATGTAAAAGCATCCCACGGGAACCTCTTTCCCGACCGGCGGAACCTACGGAGGCTGAATACTGAGATCGAGACACAGAGGGAATGTGGAAGATATGGCAACAACTAAGACTAGATGATTCGGCAGGGAAGCCTGAGACCTAGCTCGAGCTCCGCGGGAGGCCAGCTCCCGAGTTAAAAGTGGTAGTGCGAGGAGTCCCGGGCGCTTCCCTGCGCGTTGTCTCATTCCCCTGGCGCAGGCGTCCACCGGTCAAACTCAATACCGGAGTCAGGCGATTGGCCGATGATGCTGAGGGGACTGAGGAAGTTTGCTGTGGAGGCTGAGCAGCGACAAGCCTCGGTGTCCGGCCTCTGACAGCCACAGTTCTCACACCTGCCGCAGAACAGTTAACATCAGTCTAATACAATAACATTCAGTAAAACCAGGGAAAAGAATTCATAACTTAAGGTTTCATTAATACTACTTGTCTCCTTTCTGAGAAATAAAGAGAATGTAAACTATTCATCATTGCGGACAAGGATGGCCAATGTATATACTTAAATGATATACCGATTGCTGATTAAAAGCAAACAGAATTAAACACAATTTTTGCAATTACAAGCATTCCACTGCAAAACTCCCGTCACCCTGTAAGGCTGTCACACCATTCTCTCATAACTATGTATTGAAATAAATAAGAATGAAAAACAAATTTGCTTTAACATTAAGTGAAATTTATAAACTCACAAGCGTACTCTCAACATAACTTGTTGAGCTCCTTAAGGAGCATTGAGGTGGTCTAATGATATAGAGCAGAGCTTCAGTCACCGAGGTCTCAGGTTCAAATACGACCAATCACTACTGGCTTTAGTTATGAGATAATGCTGCAAGCCTCTAGGCCTAGCCTATAGTAATGAGGAAAACGGTTCTGGGCTAGAGCCCTTGGATGTGGTGGGGATAAAAAAGCATGGCCTAAACCTACAAATTAATTTTACCACCGTACCTGATGGTGTCTGTGCGTTTTCCGCTGAGCTCGCCCTCAAAGGTGTGCAGCTGCTCCATGAAGTGGAAGTTGGGTGCGACGTTGGTCTTGCGTGCGCGGACCAGATTGAACGCGTCGTTGAGCGACATGTTCAGCTTGGCCATGAGGTAGGCCACGGTGATGGTGACGGAACGAGACACTCCAGCCAGGCAGTGAACCAGCACTCCCTTCTTCTGGCCTCGTGCTTCCTCTGTAAACGGCAACCAGTTGACAAAAATGTTACAATACACAGCGGAACCTCGAAAACATCTCCTAGAGATTATTAAACAAGACTTGCTATCCAGGTTGACTTCTTATCAATTAGGTTTGCAAAAATGTGATTAGGGTTCAAATAAATTTTAGGCTATCTAAAATGACAATTGTTATCAGACTACGAGTCCAAGGCAGTGATGCACAAGGCAGGTCCAGGTGCCGCTACTAATATTTATCAGTAAAGATAACTCTTCAACTGTGGGGGTTAACACATTGCTGTTCATGTAAGCCTACATTTCATGCATTGAACAACTGACGAGAACAGGGGTGCCCAGAGGGGGTACCATGGCGTGCTTGCGCCACTGGAATTTTTGGGGGGATATTTTTCTGCTAGCTGTCATAATTCATAATGAATGTATAATTTTCTTGTATAATTTTCTATAATTGCGGTGGCTCGGAAGTCTGGGAGTTGAAACAAAGGAACACTGGGAAGTTGTTGGCTACGGAGATGGATGTACTCAGGAGGAGTTGTAGGAGGACAAGATTGGACAGGGTAAGGAACGAAGATATTAGAAGAGAAATGGAAGTGGAAGGAGACATAATAGATGAGGTTCAAAGAAAACAGTTGGTCTGGTTCGGCCATATAAATCGGATGGAGGAGGGTCGGCTCCCACGGCAGGTTATGAACTGGGTTCCACCTTGGAGGAAAAAGAGTGGACGACTCAGGCGCAGTTGGCGGATGGGGATTCAGGAGGCAATGGCGACAAGAGGCCTTGAGATCGGCGACTGTGCCGATAGACAGCTTTGGAAGCTGGGAGCGGAGAGACGGCGCGAGCTGTAGAGATCCGCAACAAGTAAGTATGTATAATTTTCTATAAGCAGAACGAAAAAGTGTTTCTAAGTAGTTCACTATCAATACCAACAACACTCTGCTATTGAAAAAATTCCATTTTGTCCATAAGTTAGATATAACTTTTTATTTTCTAATGACATTTCCTATTATACATTTCATTTTGGAGGGGGAGAGGGAATTGCGCCTCTGGCTTTGGGGGCGATGGGCACCTCTGGACCAGAAGACTTGTGGATAAAAAATGAGAGTAATAAACGGCTTTTAAACTCTTGAAAAATTGATTAAAACAAACTAAAGACGAGTGTGGGACTGGTGTGATGCTTTATGTAGCTCCATTTCCGACTAAGACTAGCTTTTCTTTTAAATAGGGCCATTTATTAAGAACACTGTAATAACGAATGCCTAGGCCTAGTTTAGAACCATTAACTACTGACGTTTTCTGATTGTAACCGGTGACCTTCTGATCACCAAGAATTATCTATTGCCACTCACCTAAGTATTTGCATTCTTAGTGACTAAGTGCACAGTCTGTACACAGATCATATTTTGTATTGTTTTTCAGCTGGGTTATTTGTTTGTTCTTGTTTGTGTTTTGATTTGCTTGAACTGAATTAAATGATGTACCATAATGTTAGTTTGATTTTATGTTAAAAATAACTTAAACTAAGTCAATAAGATGATTCAAGATAACAACAAAATACTTAGAACGTGGAAGAAAATTAGTAAATCTATATAATTAATACGCTACATGAAACTTTGTCGGTTGAACTCCTCCGCTATTTCTTAACCGATTTTATCCATTGACGTCTCATTGGAAAGAGCGTGTCGAGTAGATTTGCAAACTGACCTTACTCATTTGCACAGAAAATTTGTTTTTTCTAATCATGTTGTTTCATTAAGCGAGAAATCTTTCAAACTATTTAAAGGTAAAGTAATTTTTAATTTGATTATAGATGGAGGTAAAGTAATTTTTAATTTGATTATAGATAGAGGTGAAGTAATTGATCACGTCATTGAAAAGATTCAACTTCAACTTATTGCAACATTAATATTGTATTTATCATGTGTTAATTTATCAACCTGTATACACTACTCAGTGTACTCAGTGTGCGCAATGAAAAACATTTCTCTAGTCTTGCCAAGCAACTCTTGTTAACATAGCCTATACAATTTGCATTTGCAGAAAATTCCGAATTCACCATTTGCTCAAACTGCCAACTTCAACAGTTAAGTTTTTTAACACCTTCCGTCTTGACCCAATGGAAAAACTAGGTCATTCTGCTTGTCCTGATTCACCAACACGGCTGAATCGGCTGAGGTGAAACCGAGAGACAATTGATGCGGAGGGTTCAGTGCAAGACAGTTTTTCCATTGAAACATCATAATGAAGTGAATGGGTGGAGGTACGTGGGAGGAGATCAATACAGGGGTTGCTATGCGGGGGCGTGATTCAACTCTGATACATCAATGGTGCACCCACGCAACCCCTCGCCCAGCTGTCTCCCCCAACTGCCATCCGCACTGTTAGTCTCCGCAAACTGGTTTATTTCAAGCGTGTGTGGGCGCCTCTCCAAATAACCCTTTCATATTTAATCCACTTGCAAAACACTCATGTTATGGTTACTCGGAAAGCGGTTCGCCCTTAATGCTTGTTTTGATAAGCCGAGTTATCTCTATTTTTAACCGAGCTTTGCTGTGTTTCCAGAAACTTGAAAGTGGGATTAGGCTGAGCCGGGACAGTTTTACCCTTTGGTGAACATTTCGTCTGGTTACGTTTTTGTAGAGAAAACTTGTTTAGAAATAAATTTCTCAGGAGACTTGAAAGGAAAAATAGTGTGGTATTTGTTAAAAGTTACACCACAAAATACCACATGACATAAAACAAATTTTTTTACGACAAATAAATTTAAGCCAGTTGTTAGAAAGATCACTGAGGTTGCATTTCGTACAGCGGGGAGTGACGTAAATAGCCTAAACATGAAAAAACTAAATAGATTACTTAAAGGGGATTCGAGTGTCCAATAGAAATCCATCACCACTTAAATCATTTATATGTATTGTACCATATACAGTCTTGTGAGTTTTGAGTATGTGTAAATATATGTTTTAAGAGTGTTTTATTTACTTTACTTACTATTATTATTTACTTACTTTCTGTAAATTTAATAACATGTACAATGCTGACCAAGAAGTAATTTAACGGTCTGGTAGAATAGTTTTACAATTGATTTAAAAGTCAGCAGTTGAACAATCCATCTTGTAACAAAAGAATACATACATTGCGCTAGCCATCCTGTTAAGCTTTGTTTGGAAAAGGGAAAAAATAATTGCGTAGGGAAAAGTAATGTTTAAGACAGAAAATCATATTTTTTTATAGATTGGAAGTTGAAGATTTTCGTACTGCTAAGCTATACGCATGAGCTATTTTTGTATACATAGAGATGAATATTACTTGACGAGATTAACCGAAGTAAAAGGACTACTCACCAATGAACTCTATGGCCTGTGGAAAGAAACTGGCCAAGTTCTGACTCCAATGGTCAGCTATGGGGATCTGCATGTACTTGAATGATCCACACTCCTCAAACACATTAGGCAGGTCCGGAGTCACATTCATGATGTACTGCAACAACAAATACAAACTGAATTGAAATTGGTGAGTAAATTCCTTACCTTAGGACATTGACCTCTTAAAACTACCTAAATAAAATCCTGGTGGCTCAGAAGAAGGCTGTCTGGGAACTTTCTGAACTTTTCCCCACAGAAAGTTGTAAAGGAGCTTTCAAATTCCTCAAGATTTTAACTTGAGCACTCATGTTCAAAAACTAGTAATGTACACAAGCCAGTTACATCTACTAGAGGCGCTGGAGACAGCCTTCCCATCCACCACAAAATTCAGTAAGAAACAATCAAACAATTGTATCTTGGCCGCACAATTTTAAATTCCCTCCCACTGCACATGAAAAACCTATTAGGATAAAATCTGAAAAAGGAAGTTTGGAACTGGCTTGTAAATTAATTAGCAGATGTTCTAAAGCCAGGTTGTGTCTGAAAACAAGTGTAAGCCATATTGGCTATATTTTTTGGTCATTTTGCAGCGATAATGGCTGTTTTAAATTAACATTATCATAATTATTTGTAACGGAGATGTGCATATTTTAACCCAAATACGAGTGAAGTATGTGTGTGGAATGGAGTGAGTTACCTTGTATAGCTTTGTTACTGACTAAGATCAGCTGTTTCATTAGTCAGGACCATTTATTAAAAGCCCAATGATCAAGGACAGCTGGGTCCAGTTTCGAACCATCAAAAAGCAACAAACTTTTCTCTATATCAAACTAGCAATTAATTAATTCACACGTTGAGGGTCTAGGTACTGTAGTTCTTTTTAGACCTTGAGTAAAAAAATTGGTTGGGAGAATGAAAGGATAAATTAATCTATTTGATACAAACACCCTTTACTTCCTTCCCTTGTAGGAGCAAACCTAAGTACTCATTAAAATTGAAGTTTTAAAAAGCAAATAAATCTGACAATTTTAAGAAAATACGTAAGTGAAAATCTAATCAGATAAATGGAAATATGCATAGTCTGCAAATTTGCGGAGGTATTTAATCATCAAATCAGAACCTTATTACCATATACATTTTTAATTGCCAAACAAGAAAATCCAACAAAACAACTGCACCAAACACAGTCAGCTGTAAATGCCAGAGATGGATGTTAAATATTAAACAGTTGAACTAATGTGGTATGATAATGTCACTGGAGCAGAAGGGAACACACATGGGGTGAGGGGGGAGGTGACCCCCCCTCTGTATCCCTCTCAGAACTATTGACTCACATCTGACTCAGCTGTGTTTGCTGTATTTGGCCACTCAGTGACTCATTGAAACTAATTAACACTTGACACATCTATCTGAGACAAAGGACTAATTTATATTTTATATTGCCAATAAGCTTGAAAATATACAATATATAAACACCCCTGCCGCAGCAAACCTTCAGACTGAGCAAATTTCCATTTGCCTGATTATATTTTTTCACCCAAATATCTCCGTGGAAAAGTCAGATATAAATAAATAAATAAATAAAATAAAAACGTCTTTATTAGCCAGCGTTTCTCTGATACATCAGAGAAACGTATATATTACCTATTTAAATTTAAATAACATTTGATTTGATTTAACAAGTTTGATTTAACAAACATAAAACAGTACTACTAGGTTTGCTGCTAAAGGGAAATTAATAGTGTTCACATTATGTGTAAAATAATAAGTTTTCCAATTTTGATCAAAATATATTCATAAACAAGCAAACTAAAAAAGTTTTCCCTTATTTTCCATAATAATAAAGATAGAATTTTTAAGTTACAGTACAGTTTTTGGGAATTTTCTCCTTAACCATTAAGGACAGAAAATGCTTCAATATACAACTTTTTTTAGTCTACAAAATGGTTTAGAAGAAGAAAAGAAGAAGTCTAAGAAATTGCAAAACCAATTTTTACACCATAAAACCGCCCATGAACCTCTGTTCTCTTAGTCCGATCATGTTAGTTTGCGAGCTTGTTTAAATTAGACATAGATTCACTGACAATCCAAAGCGAGTAAATTTTTAATCCAGATGCCATTTGGAATTGGGCTATCAATTTATGAAGCTATCTAACAAAAGATTTTAGCTCAAACAAAACCAACGTTAGGACATTTGTCTTAAAAAACATTAGAGTTCTAATGGCGTATAAATGCAATACTTGAAAAAAATGCTACGGAGAAGAATAAATGTTGAAAGATTAGCAGTTGTTACATGAACCACCAAACTTTGGGTGTGTTTCTAGCCTAGGTGTCTATTGGGATGGGGCGAAGTTGAATTGCTTTTGCTTACAGAACTAGAAGGACCAATAAACATTTTACAAATAAACTGTACTCAACCAATATATCATTAAATTTAATGAACACTTAGTTAGCAACAAATCAGTCATTTTTAAGAAATTCTTGATTACACCTGAAATTTGTTATTTTTTTATCTTACAACAAAACTCAAGAATTTCAATAACGTAATCCAAGGAAATAGTTTAATCTTGCAAAAGAACAATCTTATCAGAAGTGTGTTGGCATTTCACAATCAAGTGTCAATCGAAATGAATGGAAATTTCTTGAATGGAGATTGTTGCTTAACATTAAACATGAAGCGACATTGATAAGACAACAGGAGATTAGCAGTCATTCAGAATGGAGATTAGGTCATTCATAACAGTAAACAAAGACATGGCTACAACCATACACCTTTGTTTAAATCTGGTGTTGGCAAATTAAAATGCCCCTGTCGCAGTGACCCTGCACAAAGGGTGTATATTGGGTTTCTTAATTAAAAATCAGTGACAGTTCTTTGTAAAGAATAATCTGTAATTAATAATAATAATAATAATAATAAAGTAATCAAAAAATTCTCTAGTTATTCAGTTTATTTGCTACTTGTATAATAAATTTGTACTTTTGGTAAAAATCCACTGGAAAATGAATGCCCAAGTAACTGATATATTTTTCTTTTTAAACATGAAGGAAATACTTACTTGTGTGTCTTTTTAAACACACAAGTAAGAAAGGCAATAGACTGGACACCCTAGAAGAGTATGAAATTTACAAAGCTTACACCGAAAATAATTTGGACGATATCATTTTAAACGACAAACTACAGTACAAGTCACACTTCATATTCAATAGCATTTTAAATCAGAAAAGGAACAAGAAGCCAGGAGTACAAAGTTCAACTGATAACGCCACCACACCGGGCCCGACATAGAAATCTTCCAGTCGGTTTTTGCTCGGAACGGGAACATGTCACCCGTTAGTACGACAGGCCTATTCGGTTTTTGTAAATATTTTAAATGTATATTATTGTTCGTATGTGTTACGTGTTTAAACTTCAACGACGCTACTTCAGCCGAGTTTGTGTTTTTGTAGTCTGACGATGGCATTATAATGCCGAAACGGCCGTAACATAGTTACACAACAAGAATTTGAGCTGCAGTGACGAAGGTAAAGCCTATTTTTAGTAAACATGAAGGATTATTTAATTTATAGTTTTGTTATAAATATATTTTAGAAAAGTTTCACCTGCAAATAAAGAAATTATTAATAAATTCCCATCAGTTTTTTGTAATATAATATTCTGTTTCCCAACCATGTACGGAAAACAATGGGTTTTATTTTTAACAAGAGAGTAATATTTCTACAATTTTCTATTTACAGAAAAGTAAGTTCAGGGAAAACAATAGTTGAAAACAATTCCAGTTAACGTAAAGGTCAAAAACAGTCAGATTTTCCTCAGTCCAAGCCGATGGTCTGTTATAAACTCAACTACCCGTACCCTGCTACCCCATTAGAGCACTCTCAGTCGTAAACCAAAGGTCGAAGTGTTTCGCTCCTCCTGGTCGAAAGGTCAGACAGCACTAACTACGACCTTTTGTTTCACTCTAATTTCATCGTCAATAGTTTAGGGGTGAATTTAGTGTAACACACGACCATAGAATACAGCATGTCCTATAAACCTATGTCTTAGGTTTGAGTTCATCGTCAATTTTTAAAAGCGTGTTTTTATGTTTAGTGTAATAAATATACTAAGTATAAAGTGCAACCCACAAAACTAAGACCTAGGTTTGAGGTTTCATATAACTCGGACAAAGAAGCAAAAATGTTGAGTATTAACTTCTTTCTAATCAGATACTTTTTCTGTAAGTACATTTGGTAAATGAAGCCATATAACAAAACGGCTAGTGACAATCAGGCTTTTTAAATAGAATCCCACAAAAAGCAAAAAGGCTGAACTTAACAAAATCATCTCAGCCGTTTTGTATTATTCCTAAATTTGTTCAGCCTAATTGCAACTTTGGAGTATTTTATACAATCAGCGTATTATAAAAAGCATAGATTCTTTCCAAAATGCATGATTTTACAATTGTACTGTGATATATATGGATAAATAATTTCCTATGCTATTCAAATTATTCTTTCAAAACGTGTCTTAGCAGGGAATTACAAAGTAGGGGTAGCTTAAGATACTACAAAACAATAACATTCATCATTTCAACCAGGATCTGTTAACTTGATGATCAAACTGTAATCATGGATGAAAACTCAAACAAGTTTGATTAATTGTCTCAGATCTTGAAATGTTTGATAAGATAAGAGAATGAATGAGCTTATGAAACATCCATTCTTGGGATCAACACATAAATAAGAGTTTTATAATTGAGGAACTACAATGTTTACTTGGAACTGAAATATTGTTTACAACAATAATTATGATATGGCATGGATAAAAATTATCTCACAATTTATAAAGGTTAGGAAGGGTTTTAGGTAAGGGATTGGTAACATAATGTTCAACACATTAGAGTAAACAAGTTCTCATAAGAGTTTAAAAGAAAGAGAGGGTTTAAAGACATCATGGTTGGGGTATAACACTATGTATTGGTTTTTAAGAAACTAATGATGGCAAATCTTTGGCGAAGTACCAAAAACATACTGTATTGATAATTAATGTCCAGTATCTGAGGAATCTATGGCTTATATTTTATTCTGACGGACTGACGAAGTAAGACAATGATCCCCCATTTAAAATTGATCATGTTCACCCTTGTACTGTACCTGCTCACCCCTTGCTTTGCTGGATACGTTCCCCGCACAGCTCTCTGTGGCCCATCTGGACCGGCAAAATTTAATACAACAAATAGCCACCTACTTCTTTTTATATAAAAAATACACCAAAATAATTTTGCAAATGGATGAGCATGTTTTTTTAAACGCACCATCAGTAATATGCGGACAAAAAATTAACGGTAGTATGTAGGATTTTCTTCTTGGTGCTTGGATGTTAGAAGGTGTTTCATGTTTTTGTTAACTGAAGGAAAATGTTAACTTACAATTCACCCTCTAATAAGTATTTCTCTCATACGTTCATTTTTTTTAGAAAACTGGTAACAACTGAAACATGGGAATAATATGTCTACATCTAAAGACAGCAAAATTCTACGTAAACAATACTCCAAACTATCTTCTTGTAGTATTGAGACGATGTACTTAATGTACGAATATGAAACAAAGACTTTTTGACTTGATTTGATAAAAAAAAGTTAAAACAAGATTATTCTTACCTTGATCCCGTGCTTGTCTAGACTCTCGATGTCCTCAGAGTTTGCGGCGTTGCCCAGGAAGAGGTATGGGAGGATCTCCACCGGGAACTCTCGGTCGTCCTCGAGGCCCAGTGACGAGTCGCAGCGGTCAGCCTCCTCCTTGCCCTGCGGCAAGTATGTAGAGATACGCAGACTGCGCAGCCCCATCAGTGGTACCTGCTCTGGTAGTGTGGACACCTCACTGCAGCTCTCACACCACTCCGGGTACGCAGAACGGAACCCCTCAAACCCGTCTGTAACACACAGAAACCAATGATTAAAAATACAGTCTACTCTTGGTAATTCAAACACTCGATAGAAACTTTTGACAGTTAAAAATAAAAGCTCAGTTCAAAGAGATTCTCTTGGTATTTCGAAGTTTTGCCATGCATTCTTATACACTCGTTATTTCGAGGTACAAGACCGATTTGGAACAGTAGTTCGAAGTTTCGTCAGCAAAACACTCTATAATTCAAAGGGAGGGATTCCTTCTGTCATAACAGGAAACTATACGTCCCGTTAGCACAGTAGTTTGTCTTAAATAATGTCACGGATAACGCAAGAATCAATAAGCAAACAGAAATAACAGATATTTTGGAACAACCTTAAAATAAGCAATTGTCTTGTGTAAGTAACTGAAATAAGCTGTTTAACTGTAACGCCCTGTACCTTACATAATACGTGTAAAACCTCTTTGTAATTTGAATGGTTTATTTTTCTCCCGACAAATAAAATTCTTCGTAGTTCGTAATTGGCCCACCAATTTCAAATTATCAAGACTTTATTAAATCTTTACATAGGTATTATGGTGTCAAACTGTTAAATTATTAAGTTCATTCCCGAGAACGATTTAAAATTCTGGACCCAAATAATGTTATTTGTCACTGGGCCATCAATTATTGACAGTAAGACCAGGGTTTGGACCGTTCCCTCACAAAAACCCGAAAAATTAACAATCATATAAAACCTCAAACAAATTCAACATACTGAATGAGAATCAAACAGCGACTGTAAATTGTGTAACAATTACAATAAATGAACTGAAAATCTATTTATCCCCCAGATTTCTACAACAAGATATTTTGTACTAAACTCCGTTCACGAAATTTATACGGTTTTAGGAGAAGAATTCTATCCCCTAACTTCAACATAGATTCAAAACAATAGCTTAACAGCTGAGGCAACAAACATTACGAAAAAAGTGGGGAAAACTTCCCCTCAAAATACCTAAATTTTGTGAACGGACAATTCGGTACCTATTTAGTTTTAATAAAAAAACACAATACCCTTTCTAATACTGTATTGTTCAGACTACCCACGCAGGCTCGTATTTAATTTCAATTCAAGAAAATATTTCGTAAAACAAACACAGTAAGTAGCTTAGCTAAGTGCTTGTGTCAAGTGCGTGGGAGTGAGTATGAGCATGCGCGTCGGACTGTCACTCATTGATTGACCCGTTCATGAATGGAGCCAGGCGCTGGTGCCGTGGCGCGCCTACACCGTCTGATACTACTACACTCACACTCCCACCTGTGCCACCCACACTTACAGCTACAGCTACAGCACGCACCGAGGAATTCCTGCCTCCCTGCCGTAGTGCTGTACACAGACAGACAGACAATTAACACACAATGAGTGGAGAATAGGATGGATGAGTTACGTAGTTCACGTAACAATTCAACATTCTATTACACAACAGCACGCACCCGATGGAGGAATTCCTACCTCCCTTCTGTACACAGACAAACTAACAATTAACACACAATGAGTGGAGAATAGGATGGATGAGTTATGTAGTTCACGTAACAATTGAACATTCCAATACACAACAGCACGCACCCGATGGAGGAATTCCTACCTCCCAAACCTCCCTTCCGTACACAGACAAACTAACAATTAACATACAATGAGTGGAGAATAGGATGGATGAGTTATGTAGTTCACGTAACAATTGAACATTCCAATACACAACAGCACGCACCCGATGGAGGAATTCCTACCTCCCTGCTGTACACAGACAAGCTAACATACAACACACAATGAGTGGAGAATATGATGGATGAGTTACGTAGATCAACATAAACAATTGAACATTCCAATACACAACAGCACGTACCCGATGGAGGAATTCCTACCTCCCTGCTGTACACAGACAAACTAACATACAACACTCAATGAGTGGAGAATATGATGGATGAGTTACGTAGTTCACGTAACAATTGAACATTCCAATACACAACAGCACGCACCCGATGGAGGAATTCCTACCTCCCAAACCTCCCTTCCGTACACAGACAAACTAACAATTAACACACAATGAGTGGAGAATAGGATGGATGAGTTACGTAGTTCACGTAACAATTCAACATTCCAATACACAACGGCACGCACCCGATGGAAGAATTCCTACCTCCCAAACCTCCCTTCTGTACACAGACAAACTAACAAACAACACACAATGAGTGGAGAATATGATGGATGAGTTAACCTAGATCAACATAAACAATTGAACATTCCAATACACAACAGCACGCACCCGATGGAGGAATTCCTACCTCCCAAACCTCCCTTCCGTACACAGACAAACTAACAATTAACACACAATGAGTGAAGAATATGATGGATGAGTTACGTAGTTCACGTAACAATTCAACATTCCAATACACAACGGCACGCACCCGATGGAAGAATTCCTACCTCCCAAACCTCCCTTCTGTACACAGACAAACTAACAAACAACACACAATGAGTGGAGAATATGATGGATGAGTTACGTGGATCAACATAAACAATTGAACATTCCAATACACAACAACAAACCCCGACAACAAATTGGTATATTCAATTTCGTAAAGGAGTCTGCTTCTCTACTTATTTTTCTACTCTTGAGGAGTATGAAATCCATGCAGGTAGACGCGAATGTGCCGCTAAATTATTTGCAAGTCCCTAAAAGCACGGATTGAGTAGACAACATGGCATGCTTGAAAATCGATTTAACGCCAAAACAGCCACTGAACTTAATTAAATACGGCGTGTACGCTCCTTTTTCGTGGGGTATCTGACTACTCACTAATCTGTGCTAAAAGCAGAAGAAAATGGCCAATGTACAAAAAGAGTACCAATGGAAGAAGAACCTCGATACGAAACTTACCAGCTGAATATAGTAGTTATTTAGGCTGATAAAAAGATAATGTATTGTTTATGTAGTCAATATTTTTGGAATAAAGTACATATTCATTCAATCAGTATAAGTAGGCCTAATTAACATCATCCTTCATAGAATATTGTAGGATCTATAAATTCGCCAACCGTAAACAAAATCGATGCTTTCGATAAAATAAACTTGAAACCTGGTAAACTATTTATTATGTTAGATGTATAAAAAGTTAAAAAAATAATGTGGACTGATTAAGTAGTCATTCGGCATAACTATTAAATTTTCATGAATTGTTACTATGCCACCAGGTGAGATGGGAACGCAACTGAACGTATTTCATCGCAAACATGATGAGAGATGGGTGTAGAATGGTCGGCAAGACCTGTTGTTTCTTTAGTCAGGACCATTCTAAAATGCTCGACTAAGGGCAGCAGGGGCTTGTTTCGATAATATGCCCTAAATATATCAATATTCTCCATTTTCGATGTTTTGCTATTTGGATTGATAGGATTTTGTTCAGATCAAACTTTAACAGTACTGTACCGACATATATATTTGAAAACACAATTTCCCACAAGAGTAGAAAAAGCCTCCTCACACAGGACCAAATTTAACATAAGCCGCTAATATAATTTTAACTACGAATTGATCACACAAAACCTAACATCACGCAAGAAACGTAGGTAAAACAAATTCATCTCAAAATATCCCGCTAACAACCCTGAAAATACAATCATGTTTAAAACACTCGCCTCGGGCCTACCAACAAGAAACGTCTACAAAGTTAAAGAGAGAAGAAGCAGAACACCAAACAGAAGCTTGGCCTTTACGACCAAGGGAAAGGGGTTAGTAAGGTTGTCAAGGGCGGGAGGGGCGGGGGCCGTAAATCCCAAAGGAGGAGTTGGGTGGAGCAGAGTATTGGAGGGTTCTTTTATGAACTCGTCCAACCCAAACACTGCTTCCTCTGTGGGGTAAACATTTCATCACAGTTCCTGTATTGCGACACACTATCTCAAAACCGCATAAGAATTTTTCATTTTAGCGAATTTCCCATATAGGGAATAGGCTATTACCGAAGTACTCATGGTGAGACCAGGTCCCGGGACCGATTTAATTTTTCGTTTTTAGGTCCCTTGTGGCCAAAAACACCATCTGTTTAAATTCGTTTATATCGTTGCTCAATTAATTGTTTATTGATTATTAAGTTTTCAGATTCACTTTTCACGATTTCAAACAATATGTCGAGTCGAATTACAGCTAAGTTACTGGGCAAGACCGTAATGAAAATACCCCCGCCGCAGCAAACCTGCAGACTTCGCGAATTTCCATTTGCCTGATTGGATTTACACTAAAATGTCTCCTTAAAAATATCAAATTACTTACGTTTGCTGCGACAAAGGAGGGTGAAAGTGTTTTATTGTAAAATGTTAATAGTTTAGTAAGAAATCAATGCATTTTCCAAATTTGATCAAAATATGATCATAAACAAGCAAACTACAACTGTTTACTTATTCTCCATAAAAATAACATGGGAATTTTAAAATTACAATTTTTTGGAATTTTCTCCATAACTATTAGGCGCATAAAAACGCTTCAATATACTAAATTATTCGTTTTTGAAGCTCTTCAAAATGGTTTGGAAAGAAATTGCTAAATTTGAGGTTTTTTGGGTAAAAAAATTGGGGGAAACCAATTTTTACCCCATAAAACCCCCCAAAAATCCCCATTCCCATAGTCAGATCATACTGGTTCGAATAAATGTAGGTTTACACGTTTATACCAAATTTCACCAAAATCGAATCATTTTTGCTCGAGTTATCGTACTAACAGACACATTTTTATACGAATTTGAATGGATGGTGTTTTTGGCCTCTAGGGACCTCAAAACGAAAAAGTAAATCGGACCAGGTGTTTTACCGATGTTCATCCGACTGTTTACTATCTAAGTTTACAAATTCGAAAAATGTAAAGCCATCCCACAAATTAGTTGATTCTTGTTTACCCTATTTATGAAAAAAACAGTACTATCGTCGCATAGAATGGAAACCGTTGTTTCACTGCATGTTTTGGCTGCACTTTACTTTAAGTCCTACAGGA